ATACTTGTGCATGGAACGCATTTTAGTCATGTCGAAATGCAATTCGTGCCATGTGGAACCAGTTTTCAGTTGATTGATAAATAAATAAATTAACACAATTAGCAATTGGGGTGCTGTGCATGGGGATATTTTATTTTAATTGTAATCTGGATCAAATCTATAAGTTCATTCAAATCACATTTGGTGCAGTATTTTAATGAAGTTCTTGAAATAAATTGAAATTTGAGTAATTATTTTCATGATTTAAATTGCACGTGGGCAAAAACACCGTAAAGCAAACCAATCATTATGTGGAATATTGTTGAAATTTCGAAATTAATCCAAGTGACGTTGATAATAGGTTTGGTCAAAGCTTAATTTTGGCTGAACTGCCATAATGTTCGGAGAATGCTGCCCGTGTCGTATCTCTTCTATTTTTCGAGTCAATTTCTTCATTAGCTCTCGCCTAGCATTTGAAAGTCGAAGAAATTGGCAGTACGGCCTAATCGAAATGAAGTAGAATATTTCAATAACCGAAAGTCCGCTAAAGCCCAAAAATAAGCCCAGCAAACCACCCAAATTGGCTAGAAATTCGGCAAAGCCGACCAACTCCTCTTTTTTCTGCGCTCGAAACATCGTTTGGCTGTAATAGATGTGAAGAATAGCCACATCCTTTGATTTAAGCTTTCTCTCTCGCAAAAATGGCAATCTGTCGAATATCATGGCTGTTGAAAATGATATATCGTAATTTAAAGCAAAACATCCCGGCAAACAATGACTACAACTGAATAACGGGTTCTGTTTCATAAAAATCTTATGATCGACAGTGTTGATACAGCTAGTATCAGCAGTGCCACATATCGACATATTCGGGTGTCGCATCGGTTGAAAATGTTTGATACAGCCACAATTTTTTAGTAAAATTTTTGTCTCGCATTCGGTGATACAATTAGTTTCTGAATACGTGCTGAAATGACATTTCATCAATTCATTCATATCAGAATTAGAATCACAAAAGAGAATAATGAATACGATATTGTCAATAGGTTATTACCTAAAATATGATAGAAAATTTTCACTCTGAAAGATACACTTTCGAACATCAATCGCCAGACTTCTAATGGATGGTGCTCCTATAGCAAGGGTTGGACTTATGGCAAAACGTGATTCAAAATTGGATGGTATGGCCATTCCTAAATTCTTGATCATCGGTAAATCGTTTGGATTATGGATGAGTACCTTAGCGTTTATCAAATAAATTGATTGAATTGAACGATTTTGAAAGAGATGACAGACAAATGTCTTGAAAATACCTTAAATCCAAAAGATTCGGTTGAAGAGCAGAAGTAGTCATCTACATCTGCCTTCATGATGAGATTTATACCTTATTATAAAACAATAAATAAAAATATAAATTCTACAAAATCGGATTGAAAGGAATTTTTCTTACCTTGCTCGTTTCCAGATGCTACTCCGGGCCGAGGGTATTTGTCTATATTTTCTTGAAAATCCGATGAATAACCTCGTTCTAACCATGCAAGCCAAAACAACATATATTAGATAGATTTTTTATATTGTATATTTTATACGTATTATACCAACCTACAGTCCACATTTTTTGTTTTTCTTCAGGAGTTACAGAGTCTGAATTGCTGTGAAAAAGAAAAAGCATGAAAATAAATTAAAAAAGTAAAAGCGATGCATAAAGAAGCGATGTACAAGAAAAACTTTCTATTTAGCCCATTGAATCTGAAGCAAAATCCAGCGTCGGTCAAAATGATCGAGAATATGGATGAACAATTGAAATCCCGTCCACCATATCTGCAGAAGAGAAAAGTGTCTTCCTTCGACTTTGTTACCTATATTGTTATTGAAATTAATACCATTGATGACTAGTTGGGCCTTTTTGGAACAATTCAAATTGTTGTTACCTTAAGCAGCACTTTGTAGAATTTATCCCAAGTTTCTGTGTCAACGTTTTTTGACCAATTTCCCACAATATTCTCTTTTCCACACAATTCTTGAACCACGACAAAATCTTCGCTGTCCTTTGGAATGTGGCTACGAACGGCAGCCTTCGAAACTACGTTCATGTTGCAAATCGTTATAGCTTATATGGAACAATTCGATAAATTCAGAATTTTAACATGTATTCAAATATAGAAAAAGTTTGAAATAAAATCATGCATCTTTTACCAGGGAAAGGTATGTCCCTAATCGAATGTTGCTTTGAATTTAATGTGCTATAAAAAGATGAGAAATAATGAAGATGTTTATAACGCTAATTATAGACAGAATAATCAAAAACCCTTACACTTCGATTGGCGATCGATACCACTTCATGCACACAATCGAAATAAAATAACCGGACAAAAGTAGAACAAGGATAAACATGCAAGCGAAGAAAATTCTGCACGAAATACCAAGCAATTTATAACATTATATACTAAAAATCAATGGATTTTCACTGAGCAAACTTCGCTCAAAGCATTACCGTTCCAGATAAGATATTGTTCGATCGCCCACATATCGAAGTCCATGCAACGTGCTTGTAAGAAGAAATCTGAAAAAGGAAAAGATGTGATTTCGAAATGAATTAAATTTCAAATAACAATTTCAAAGAAAAAGCGATCAATAAATAAGGAAAATCCAACTCGTTGAAATTCTCTCGACAGCCTACTCGAAGATCCTTCCTCAAATCACTCTCAATTCTTTGAATTTTTGAGTCGACATCGCAATTGATGTTTTTAGCAACACTGGTCTCTAGTCTATGTGACGACATTTTGTTCAGTTGATTTTACTTCTTTTGTTCAACTGCGGTTTTAATGGTGATTTGCACTGTCTTTTATACCGATTCAGGAATGGCCACGGGCTACAGCAAAATTACTCATAATTATTGTCCGCAATTGGGCACTCAAGTAAATTGCGATATTGCCTGTCCAAAGCATTTTCAATCACACGCAAATACAAACAGTTCCAAAGCATTTAATTACTCCAAAATCCATTTTTTAATGGGTTCACATTTTAATGAAAGTCAAATAGAAAGATTTTTACAGTGTTCAAATTAATTATAATGTTTTCTATTGAATGCATACTTGGGTCAAGTGTTCAATTGACATTAATTTATATTGCACGCAAATATGAACATAGTCAAAGGTAGCTGTTAGTTCTAAAAAACTGTATTCCATGGCGTTTATTTGACTGATTCTCCTTTGAAAAATTTGTATTTCCACAAACTAATTATCGAAAATTACGTTAGGCAACCAAAGGCTTTTGAAAGACGGCAAAATTTTTGCACTGTAGACGGATCGTCATTATTAACATAATTGCGCGATCCGTCTACTCATTCTTCTCTAACGATGTCGCATGCTCACCGCATCTCACGGTGCGCATGCGACATCCGTTTATGGAAACATTTCAATAGGAAATTGCACCATGCTATTTGAGTAGGTTTTTTTCAATTATTAGACTAAATAAATAGACAAAAAACCGTGGACCAAACCAACCAAAGCGTGCAATATTATTGTATCAATCTAATTATTGTTCAATCTAAGTAACGCTGATGATAAGTTTGGCCAAAGCTCAATTTTGGCTGAACTCTCGTTATTATGATCGGGGATCGCCGCCCATATCGAAGTGCATCTATTTTTTGGGTCAATTTCTTCATCAGCTCTCGCCGAACGTTCGAAGATCTAAGATATTGGCAGTATGGACGAATCGAAATGAAGTAGAATATTTCAATAACCGAAAGTGCGCTGAAGTCTAAAAATAAGCCCAAAAGACCGCCTAAATTCGCTAGAAATTCGGCAAAGCCGACCAATTCTTCTTTTTTCTGCGGTCGAAACATCGATTGAGTGTAATAAACGTGAAGAATAGCCACCTTGCTTGGTTTAAGATTTCTCTCTTGAAGAAATCGTAGTTTATCGAATATCCTGGCCATTGTAAATGTGGACTCGTAATTTAATGAAAAACATCCCGGCAAACAATGACTGCAACTGAATAAAGGGTTTTGCTTCATTAGAATTTCGCCGTCCACCCATTGCATACACTGATGAAATTGGGAAATAGTATAAAATAGCACGCGATTACTTTCTCGACTATAAATTCATACGATCATTTGAATATTTACCTTTGAATCTTCAACGCCACAAATCGAAATTTGTTACGCGGTGTGGGATGGAAATGCTCAACACAACCACAATTATTATATAGAATATTTGACTCGCATTCGCTATGACAATTCTATTTTATTGCAGAAAATGAAATGAAAACGCAAATAAAGTGGGTAGAATGTGATGTGAAGACGTAAATCTTGATTACCGTTTCTGAATAGAAGCTGAATTAAGGATACGATCAATAATAAAAGTGGTAGTAAACATAGAAAAAATACGGTCTTTACCTGAAATATGAAAGAAAATTTTCGCTTTCAAAGATACACTTTCGAACGTCAAGCGCTAGTTTTCTAATGGATGGTGCTCCAACAACAAGAGTTAGACTTACTGCCAAACGTGATTCAAAATTGGATGGTATAGTGAATTTGACGTATCTGGTCAAATGACCTTTTGTACCAAATGTTTTGGGGCAGAACTGACATTGATGCCGTATGTTGAGGTCGATTTTTTGTATATGTTGTTTCAAGATCTTAATATTATTGTACGATTTGTCGCATTGCTTGCATTGATATTTTTTCGGTGGTGGTGGTAGTGGCGTCTGATCGGTGACTAATTTGATTAAGAACGTTCCACCAATATGTCTGAAACTCGTGGTCTTAGCATCGTAATATAAATCGCTATGATCTGGGTCATTTATCATCGCTATGAAATGTCTACTTATCGATGTTAGCGTAGCTAGTTTGTTCTTGCAAATCAAGCAATAATATGCTTTGTCCAATGCCAAATGATGAGTGTTGAATGGTTGCATATGTGGCACTGTTCCTTTGGACACAACATCTCGATCATCTTCTTTGATGTTATCCAGTTCCATGCATTGGAGGAAAAAATTGCCGAGATCTACTTCGTCGCCTGGGCCAGCCAAAACGTCAATGGCTTCAGCATCGGTAACAATTTCACCAACCGCATTCACCAGATTCTTTCGTATTTTTGCGCCGTCTTTTCTGGCTTTCAGTGCTTCATAGACGCATGCTTCGAAAATTTCCTTCGGTACGTGTATATCGTGAAGTACTGTGATCGAGAAATTTTCGGCGAAACTGTCAATGTCAATGCCATTGGTCAGTTTAGTATATACCGTATGCTTTTGTCGATATGTACCATTGTATGTATCTTTGATGCTAACCATGTGATCCATTGTACGATGCGTCCCCAACAATGGATGAAAATTACTGCCGTCTTTCTTGGCTTGACTTCCGCCAATGTACCGTTGCTGATTGCTGTACCGAAACATGTATCCGATGGCCATTTCATCGAATCCTTTCACCGTGCAACACATGTTTCTGCACATGAGAAATTCCGATTGCTTGTTTTAGAGGACCAAAAACCAAGCACTTTTGCATCATTAATTTGTTCGAAACCACGTCTAGATTTTTTTTTATCGACACATATAATGCCCGTTGTAAGTGGTTCGGATTTAATTAAATCCAAAGATTTAATTTTCAACTTTGCGAAAACGGCCAAAAAATGAAAACTGATTGGGTAGGACGTAAAATTTGGGCGAAAACAAGAAAAACTGGCCTTTTGAGTACACCCGATAAGCCTTATGGGGCCTTGAAATCATGATTTTCCCGAATTTCGTTAAATCCTAAAGATTTAACTTTCAAGTCAAAAATCATGTTGCAAATAAGTCAAGAATTGTTGGAAATGCCCGAAAAATTCTAAATCAGCAAAAAACCCAACCACTTTGTACGTTTTTTGAGTCCAAATATGCAAAAATATCATTTTTCGTATATTCTCAACATTTAATTTTCAAATGCGGGATTTAAGAATTTTTCACGTTAAACAGTGAGTCAAATAAGGCAAAAGTTGTGGGAAATGGTCCGAAAAATCTAAATCAGTAATAAAAATCAAGCACTTTTGACCATTTTTGGGTTCAAATAGGCAAGAATATCAGTTTACGGAAACCCTCAGTATTTCACTTTCACATTATGGTGAATTTTTTTGGGAAATCTCGTTTTTCGACAGTCTGCCCATTCAAAACTTCTAGCCAGCTTCAAATCAAGCACCGAAAGCCATATCTGTGGCTTCTTTATTGGGATTTCAGGTCAGCACAAGATTTAGATAGGTAAATGAGTTTTTTATGAAACCATGAAAGTAAAATCCCAATAGAAATCCCATTTGCGATATTCCAAACGTCATGAAACTTTCTGGATCTTATTTTTTTACCAAAAAACTCAAGCCCTGAAAATTTTAAGCCAATCGAAAGCGATTTACGGGTACCTCCCATACAAATTTGGCCAGTTTTGCCAATTTTATGAAGAAAATAAGAAAATTTGTATGGGAGGTACCCGTAAATCGCTTTCGATTGGCTTCAAAATTTCAGGGATTAAGGTTTTTGGTAAAAAAATAAGATCCAGAAAGTTTCATGACGTTTGGAATATCACAAATGGGATTTCTATTGGGATTTTACTTTCATGGTTTCATAAAAAACTCATTTACCTATCTAAATCTTGTGCTGACCTGAAATCCCAATAAAGAAGCCACAGATATGGCTTTCGGTGCTTGATTTGAAGCTGGCTAGAAGTTTTGAATGATCAGACTGTCGAAAAACGAGATTTCCCAAAAAAATTCACCATAATGTGAAAGTGAAATACTGAGGGTTTCCGTAAACTGATATTCTTGCCTATTTGAACCCAAAAATGGTCAAAAGTGCTGATTTTTATTAGTGATTTAGATTTTTCGGACCATTTCCCACAACTTTTGCCTTATTTGACTCACTGTTTAACGTGAAAAATTCTTAAATCCCGCATTTGAAAATTAAATGTTGAGAATATACGATGATGATATTTTTGCATATTTGGACCCAAAAAACGTACAAAGTGGTTGGGTTTTTTGCTGATTTAGAATTTTTCGGGCATTTCCAACAATTCTTGACTTATTTGCAATATGATTTTGCGTGAAAAATGCTTAAATCCCGCACTTAAAAGTTAAATCTTTAGGTTTAACGAAATTCGGGAAAATCATGATTTCAAGGCCCCATAAGGCTTATCGGGTGTACTCAAAAGGCCAGTTTTTCTTGTTTTCGCCCAAATTTTACGTCCTACCCAATCAGTTTTCATTTTTTGGCCGTTTTCGCAAAGTTGAAAATTAAATCTTTGGATTTAATTAAATCCGAACCACTTACAACGGGCATAAGACAAATTTCAGGTCAACATGAGCAAATCACAAACATGAGCTTCGGTTTGACAGGTAAAAGCAAATAATTTCTGCCTTTTATGCTTTTCAACATCTAGTATGATCCTTTACGAACATTTTGGGTACTTACATGACCAAATCGAGTGATGTTTTCACATATTTCTGACCGCATATTTGGTTGGTTTGATTTCAACTCTAAAAGAATCGACTTTTGACCAAAAATCCTTAAATATAGGCTTTTCAGGGATGGTATCATGGCGCAAAGTTATTTTTTCTCGAAAATATGGGGAGTCTATCCAGACAAAAACTCTCAAAATTGACTTTTCGAGGTACCTCCCGAACAAAAGTTACGTTTTTCATGCATTTTGCTATGAAAATAACATTTTTTGTTCGGGAGGTACCCCAAAAATACACTATTTGGATGAGTTTCTTAGTAAAAAATTAATTTTTTCGAGAAATATTGGGAATCTTCTCACACAGAATATCTTATAAATGATTTTTGGGGGATGTTATTTTCAGGCCACTTCAGGCTTTTGTTCTTCGTTGTTATTATCCGCTTCGGATAAACTATTTTCAGTTTTATTTTCGTCCGTAACAACGACATCCACCACGGGCTGTTCACCAGTATTCCGACCGTGTTGTTCGATTTGAGCGAAGAAATTGTTGATTTCTGCAAAAGTAACACAATTATCAGCAACTAATTAATCTAATCAATTTGATTGTTTGCAAAAACAAAACGGAAAGTTCTGTGTGGAAATTTTCATTTGAAAAACAATTTGAAATTACTTACGATCACGAATTGATCCCAAGAAATCTTTCAGTGCGTGAATGTTGTGGTCGCGGGCGTCCTTCTCAGTCCTTCTTTTTCTCAAAAACCCATGACTAACCAATGGAACGCTAAACAAGGGCGTAATAAACCAAATGTTGACAATTTGTCCAACATGAAATAATCTCCTCTTTACTCAGTTGAAAATAATATAAACAAATTCATTTTCAGAAAAAAAAAAAATGGAAATTACATAAAAACTCCGTGAGGCCGTAAAGTGGTTCAATTTTGCGGCTTCGAAATGTTGATCGACTGTAGTAAACGTGCAGAAAGGCAGTATTCTTTGGATCAAGTCCGTTGGTCTTGAAAATTGGTAGTTTATACCATTTATTATAAATACCAAATCAACATTGGGTGTAGCAAACGATCAATGAACGAAAAGACAACATACCAGTCGGCTGTGCCGCAAATCGAAATATTTGGATGAGCTTGAGGCTGGTAGTATAAAATACAACCGCAGTGCTTGAAGATAAGCTTTGTTTCGCACTCACTTTCACAGTTCTATTAAACGATTAAGTGCAAAAGTATTAACTAATTGCAGTTTTCAGTAAAACTTTCATTCAATTTACCATATCCGAATAGGTGCTGAAAACAAAGAGTTACATCAATTGTACGAAGAAAACAGAAATCTTATGAAAGTAATTTCAATTACCTATAAAATGATAGAAAATTTTCATCTTCGAATATGCATTGTCTGGTGCTCCGCGGTATGCTTCGGATGGGAGGCATTGCAACGGATAATGTTGGCGATATTGCAATGCGCGACTCATAGTTAGTTGGAATGCCCATGCCGAAATGTGCCACCTTCGGTAAATCATTTGGTGAATGCAATAGGACTTTGAAGCCAATGAACCTTGTCGATGAACAAAAGTAATCATGTACATCGGCTTTCAAAAGTACGCTAAGGCCAACCTAAAATACAACTCCACTGTTAACAATGAATACTTAAAAATTTGATATGAAAATCAAAGAGAATAACAATCCATTATCCAAATTGAATTTTATTTTTTTTATCATGCCACCTCATTGCCAGAGCCAACAGCCGGACGTGGATATTTGTGTTCATCCTGCGTTGACTTTTCATATCCGCCTTCAGGTGTCCACATTCTTCCTTTTACTTTGAAGTTGTGACGCTGATCATATTCCTCAAAACCCCTAGAAGCATGAAAAAGGTGATCATATTCATGTTCATGTTTTATGTCAACTTGAAATATGGAAATGTTAACTCCATATGGAAGTGCATCTGAAAAGGACCAACTTGAATGGTGTTTTCATCAGATATTTCTTGGGAACGCCGTTGAAATTGCAACAGAGACCATCATCGGTAAGTGTGCTTGAGAATCTCGATGTGCAGTTAAACTCAAATCTACCATATTCGCACTAAACTAGCATATCCTCGCATGGCGGTGAAACCTGTGATATGTGATTTAAATTTTATACAATTTTCATCAAATTAATTCATAATTTTTCATTAATTGACCCAGAAGAGAATAATTTAACCAGAGGTGACTGACCGCACGCTCAGTAGCGTATTCAGTAGCTCAAATGAGAATCGTTTCCTTACCTTCAAAAGCACCTCTCGATAGAGATCCCAGGTCCCAGCGCCAGTGGCCAATTCATTTTCTACAATGATTTTGAGTTTGAATTTTGTGTTATTGGGCTTTATCACAATGTAGTTGATCTACCTAAATAGAAATCTTGTCGACATAAGCCCATAACCATCGCATATTCTTTACTACCCTTGGAAATGTTTCTTACTTGATTCATATTACATACTGCGAAAAGTTGAACAGAGACAGGTTAAAAGAAGAGATAACAATCTCTAATAAATGATACATAGATAACAAATAGTTACCGGTGACAGCCGGAAATGGAAGCTCCTTCACGCTAATTGCCTCTGAGCTGACTCGATTATGAAAAAGTTTAAAAAATATCGACACGATCAAAATCTTACTACATGAAACTTTTTATTACCTCAGACTGATGATGACGGGAGACGAACTCCATACGTTTGAGATGAAGAACGCAGATAGCAAAATAACCACGAAAAACATGCAAGCGAAGAAGATCCTTCAAAAAATGGTCTCGACGATTAGAAAACAAGAATTTACAGTTGAAGTTTTTTTTTTCAATGGATTACCGTTCAAAGTGAGATATTCTTCGATCTCCGCAATATCGTAAGCCATGCAATGAGGAGCTAAACAGATATTCATTCAAATTATGCCGGCAAGAAACTTGATAATTTTTCTTTATATCAGTTTCAAATTGTTCTAAATTTGTGTCAAGATTCTCCTTTTTATTCCGTGAAAAACCCATCTGATACTTGGGATAGAACATCTTGGTTGGAATAACTTAACTCCGATTAGAATGAATTCGGTATATTTACTAGAATTGTTTTGCTATTTCACGGTGGCTTTTATACCAATCCAGAACTCCGAAAAGGGAATATTCCTGCGAAATTTCTCTCAATTAATAATTACCATAGTTGAGTACAGCATGTCACTTGTCGAGATAATTTCCCAGTAACACGCAAAGTAAGCCGCTTATAACGCTTATTTTTGTTGTGAATGTTCAATGCCAAGGTAAAATCAATTTTATTTCGACAAATTGAAAAGTTGAAACGGTATTTTCTTGGTAAATTAAGTAAATTAAATGTTTTTCGTACTCCCGACAGTAAATTTTTACACTGGGGACTTTTTGACGTTACAAATGCACGAAATCCAATTAGCTTAATCTATTTGTGATTTTTTTGTAAATTTTCCATTTTATTTACTGGCAGCATGCTTAAAATATCAATGGGATTTATTAAATTTCCGAATAAAATCAACATTTTGATTCAAATCAAATATGTTTGGTGCACTTAAGAAATTATCAGATTTTTTTAAACACTCTATTTCTTGCACTAAAATGTTGGATTTTCTTTGTTATATGTCTCAAACAATTTTGGAGTTTGGAATTGGTATGGTGCATTGGTGCTGTGAGTCACATTTTTATCCGAAAGAATCTCATTAAATTAATGAAGTAAAATGATTTAGCCCACGTATGGGTAAACGATATCATTATCATGGATCACTTCCAAGTGATCAACATGATTTGCCATCAATGCCGATGCAGTTCGTCTCGGTCTAAGGTTCTTGAATCTCTTGATCATTCGCTGAAATGCTAAGCGACGCCTTTGGGATACCTTCATATAATTGCTGTACGGTCGAAGGGTTAAAAAATAAAACACTTCAATAATGGAAAACACAGAAAATCCCATGAACAATCCCAACAATCCACCTGTGTTACTCAAAAATTCCGTAAACCCGATGAGCTCTAAATTTTGGGAATAATAAAATTACAAACGAAAACAAATTGTCCTCAACAAAAACTCACCCTCTTTCTTTTGCGATCGATAAAACAAGTTTTTATAGTAAATGTGCATGACAGATACATTTGGTCCCTGAAGACCTTTGGTTGCCAATATTGGTGCCTGTTGGAGCAGCGGAGCCATTGAAATTTCAGCATCATAAGAGATTTCAAAACAGCCCGGCAAACAATCACATATGAATGATTCATTTTTTTGCATTTGAATTTGTGAGGTTACTTCTTCGACACACGCGTCATCCGAGCGGCCGCAAATTGTAATATCATCCTCGAAACGAGGCTGAAAATACAATATGCACTTGCAATAGGATAAGAAGATTTTTGCATTGCACTCCATATTGCAATTGCCTCGGCTGTAAATTCTGCGAACATTCCAAAAAAGAGAGAAATTAAAAAGTTCACTAAATTATGTCCGAAGATACTTTTTACATACCTATAAAATGTGAGATAATTTTCGTCTTCGAATAGGCAATTCCTAACACTGACCGGTAGCTTTCGAATCGGATCTGTTGCTACCGATATTGTTGGTGTAATAACAACGCGTGACTCATAGCCATTCGAAACGGAAGTGCCAAAATGTGAAATCATTGGTGCTTCGTTTGGCGAGTGTAATAATATTTTAAAGCCATAGCTGCTTGTAGACGAACAGTAATATTCACTTATGCCTAACAAAAATTATTATTGTTAAAATGCCATAATCCATGCTACTACAGAGCAGAAGAATATTACCAGCATCCAGTACGATGGTTAAACCCAAATTTGTCCCTGTACCAGCAACGGGTCGTGGGTAACCGGATTTGTTTAACTTCAATTCTTCCGATAAGAATCCCTTTTCTGGTGAATAATTTTTTATACATAACACTTTATATCAACAATTTCAATTTTATTTTGACAAAACACTAACCAGGTGTCCAATCATTCGCTGTCGCATCTAAAAATGAACTTATGTTAAACTCCTGCGTATTGCTTTACGTTGAAAAAAAAAGAAACATTGGGAGTCAGTACAAAGCAACAACATTTTTCATGTAAAAGAGTCTTGTATTGTGATTTTGCAGTGAATTTTCTATTAACTCCGTTGAATGTACAGCATAAGCCTTCATCTGTTAGCACGGTAACAAATACATCCGTACAATTGAATTCAAATCCTCCATAGACACATGTTATCAACATTTCTTCACATGACTGTGAAACCTGAAGAAGAAGAAAATTTTGTGAACTCATAAAAAACCGTATCTGTGAGTATCTTACTTTTACTAACAGTTTCTGAAATGCAGCCCATTTCCCCGCCTGGGTATTGGTGACATTTTCATCGACCGCATGTGTGCACAGACTCTGAATCATTGAATAGTCTTCATGATCGGTTGGAATAGTTCGAACCACACTCTTAACCGCCTGGTTCATATTACATACCTACCGAAATACAATCAAATTCAAATCGACTGAAAATTTAATTGAATTGTACTATTCCACATACCGTTACAGCTGCAAAATTGGTACACATTGATGATATTTCAGAAAACAGTAAAAATGAAGAAAAAAAAGTGTCATAAGACTAGCTCTCAAACATCAAAATAATTTAATTGAATTCAAAATGCAATGAAAAAAATTACCCGGAAACGGTAAATGCCGAATATCAGTTGATGTAGAACTTAATGGGATATGAATAGAATTAATTAGTTGCATGTTTTAAAAATTCCATTATGGAAAGTTCCATTCGAAGTCAGTTAATCTATAGCAAACCTCAAACTGATGATCATCGGAGTTGCTGAATACTTGAACCAAACATTTGATATGAAATAAATGGACAGAAAAAACACCACGAAGAACATGAGCCCAAAAAATATGCTGAAATGATTTACCCAGAATTTCAGTTGATTTCTCGTCATCTGAGTATTTAATTTTGATCAAAAGAGAGTCACCGTTCGAAAAATGTGATGGTGTCATCACCCACGTATTTTAGCCCATGTAATGTCGTATTCAATAGGTATTGCCGGAAATTGTCTCGACAAGTGTCTCTGCAGCCCGGCTCATCACTTCCCAGCCGTCGCACAAGTCGAGGTGGTCGTTTTCTTTGGCGAATTAAACTTACATTAATCCGTGGGCTTGGCTGGAACATTTTTCACGTGATGTCTACTGTCCGATTGAAGTCCGAATGAATTGTGTTTCGTGCACGTTCAAGTTGATTTTTATATAAACGCAGAATGTCAATTAAATTATGGTTGCAGGACTTGAGTTTGTCATATAGCCAATTAAATTTATTGAGACCATTTTAATCACCTATGAACCATGATTGTGTATTAGATTTAACAATGTCAGTCATATTCTGGGGTGACACTCACCAAAGTTCCATTGAAAAATTGCCTGAATCCAATTACTACTACTAGTATGTGAAAATTGAGGTTTTTTTTGTTAATGAAGCTAATGAAAATCAATTGCCAACCGTCGGTGATGTCTAGCCAGTACATGTTATTTTCGAAGCTGACTTTATTTAGATTAATGATGTAAAAGAGAATTTGGCGCACAGACAACACACATACACACACTTGAAAGACACTTGGCCACCGCAGGTATACTGGCCCAATGAAAACTCAGTTGTTACTGGTGTCTTTAATCACCAAGCAACACAATTCTTCGATAATTTCCCGATGAGCTTTCAATCATTTCAATCGATTAGTCCTTGTACGTACACATTTTTTTACACTAAATTCTGAATCGTGATGACACAGAAATTTTGGTTCGATAAAGCTGTTCAAGCTTCGGTTTGAAATCCGTCCAATTGTTTGTTCCACCTACGGAGCAAAAAGAAACTTGAGCTGGGAACAAAGGCACGCGTCGAATTCAATTCAAATCAAAGAAAAAAAAGGGATAACAATCTCTTGAAAATCAAAGTGAATGGTCTATCATGCACATGGTAACAAAGTCAGATTTGTCCGGTTTGATTTTAGCTCAATCCGGAAATTTCTATAAACTTGGCATTGTGAATGGAAATTAATTTGCAGCGATCGTTTACCCCAATTTCCCAGTACTTCATAGAAAACCAGTCGATTAATCGTTAATGTTTGTTCTTCATTATATTTTAAATGTTGAAAGTGTGCCCTGAACAACATTGTATTAGAATTTGTTGCAACAAAGTGAAGGTTTAGCAGTTTGCATGCCAAATATGTATCGCGTGCATTGAACCAATGTCTATTTTTGTTCTATCAACGACACATTCAATTGAGCAATAATTAATGTCACTTTAAACAAATGAATGAACAATCCAGATTTTATTTATATACAAAAACCAGTATTTATTCTTTTTTCAACAAATTCACAAAATTTCACCATTTTCCATACGAAAGTCTAGGTCAGCCACTTCATTGGAATTACATTTTTCATACGTATTGATAATTTCATAGCATTTTTTCGGGCCATTGATGGTGTACTTCAGTTCAAAATAATTGTCATTACAAAATGAATAATTTGCTTCGTATAGGTCCTGGATACACAAATGTGTGCCGCATCCGCTCACTTGGTTCGATGCCGTTGCTTCAGTGCTCTCATTATCGTGTTTGCCGTCAATTTTTAGCGTATAAAATAGTCGATCGTCAAAAAAATATTTGGTTAATGATGATGTGGTGCTGTCATAATGATATTTGTACTTCTGTTTGGCTTCCATTCCATTCATTCCGTTGCTATTGTCATTACCACCGTTGATAGTCACCTTTTCGGAGTAAATCAACAAATCCGGATCCGATTCGGCCGGTGTGAATATCGCAAACCCACTCGCTTTTATACATTCGGCTCCCGCATGTTGCCATTGCTTTAATGGTGTCAATGTTTCACGCGTTAACTTCCAGATTCCAGGCAATGAGTCGAAAATTTGCTTTGCACTTCCCATTTTCATTATGTAAAGAAAGAAATGATTTCTTCAAAAAGAAACGTCGAATGCTGTTATTCCATCGCTCTTATCAACTTCAATCCACACTTTGTTTTGAGGTTGTCTATACATCGGCCGAACTGTCAACGTCAAAACGTCACTTTTGACAGTTCCAGTCATGAGAACGTGAGCTGAAGATTTTCGATCGGAAACTGTGTTCAAATGGAAACGTTAACACCATTCAAACTTACTCTTTTTCTTTCAAGCAAAAAACAAAAGTCTTTCAATATTTTCTTTCTAAAATACTTCACTGGTAAATGAAAAAAACCAAACAAATGGATTGTGCTGTAGTTATTTTTTTTCTCTCTTTTTCGAAAAAATATTTTTTATTAGCAATACATCAATATCAAATGTAATAGTTTCAATGTTAGTAAACATAACTGTATTTAGTAAAGATTAAAAAAAAATTTGCTTAGTTTTTCTTTTGGTCTAGTTACGAACACATCCTCATAACTTGTAAAGTATTTTAGTTTAAACATTTTTTCTTTCTTTTCGGTTCCAAACTGAGCAGAAGTATGAATGAATTCGAAGCAAAATTTCGCTTTGTATTGCCTGATATATTTATAGATCTATCATTCAATCGATCAATCAATCAAAAAAATCGCAGCACACGTCCAACAAATAATACTCTCTGGACTTGTGTAAATAAATGTTGTACGGCGTTGAATACCCGTACATGTTTTCATTTCATTAGGAGGCACATTTTAAATAAACATACACATGATTTATTTATTTTTTCAAACTTTTTGTTCCTTTTTGATATTTGCAAATCAAGAAAAAACGAATTGTGGGATGTGTAGTGTGGTTGTATAAATTCGCTCACAAGTGTATCGACTGAATTGTGCAATGGAAACAATTGTAAAAAAAAATCAATCAAAAAAACTTGAATCCCCGTGTGTGTATATAGTATATAATTAGTTGTATGTTTAGCTCGTAGAAAAAAACAGTTTTCATTTCTGGTTTCGTTTCGTTTTAAATAACACATACATAGACTTTCGTTTGTTTTCTCTTTTCTCCCTTTTTTTGATTAAATAACTCATCTCAAGTTTTTATCTCGTTTGGTTTTCGCTCACGATTGTTGGCAAATTTAATTTTTATTTCAATAAATATTTTTGATTGTGAATGTTGGAAAATTGCATTTGTGTCTATGTGTGTGTGAGTTACAATGCACTGTCAAAATCCAGAAACATTCAAAATTGTAAACAAAACTGATTTCCATATCGTCTTATCATCTAATATTATTCATTTAATTTGTCTTTCTGCGTCGTTTCGATGCGGTTTTTGAAGCTTCGCTCCTTCTGGTTATTCTTCTCGTTTCAATGGAGAAAACACACACAGAAAAAAAATTATTTAACAAAATCACATCCATTCGCAATTTTATATCCACGAAAAGCGGCGCACAGGTGCCTCAGATTTTTTTTTTGTGTCCATTGACAAAATATATAAACAGTATGAAAAAAAAGCGACGAAATTCATTTGGTATGTTTTTAGTAACAATCTGATTCTTTGCTATGTATAAACTATTATAAATGTCGAATGCCATAGATGGATAAAAATGTACTGAAATTGTGCAAACTGCTGGCCGGCAATACGGTGAATGTGATTAGGGTTTGGTCGCTGATTCGTTCTCGGAATTCGGCAATGGTTTGGGTCAGGAGGCCGATTGGAGGTGTCGAACTGTGAAAATGCAAGAGAAGAGATTTGGGTCGTTAACTAATCATCGTGAATATTTGAAAATCTATTTAGTTTGATTTAAATCAAATCATATTTGGAGACGAAAAAATAATTTTCTTCCTCTTAAATGTATTGTCAATGTTTGCTATTTTCATTGTTGCATACCTCACTTGGTAGAATACTTTCAAATGGATGGCTGGTAGTCGAACTTCAGCACTTGTACTATTGCTTGAGTTGGTTGATTGCTTTTGTGCATCGACGAAATAGGCCGACGGAACACCTTTCGAGCGAAGCATTTTATTTACAACATATTGGATGATCTCTGTGACATTGTCAACGGTAAGGCCTTGTGCTAACTGCTGATGGCGTTGGATTATATCATCCGATAAATCGGTGAGTTGAGTTGATGACGATGCTAAGCCGGTTGATACATAGCACACAATGGCTGCACAATTGTTTTCATAGTTCCAACGACGACGGCTAGACACGGTATAATCTCCAACGGAACAGCCGGTTTCTTCGTCTACATGTGAGCAGCAGAGTGATTAGTTGGAGTTTATTTGTTACAGAAATTGTGAATTGAAAAGATGAAGAGAAATCATGACAGCTTCCAAGTTAATTGAAAACCCTGATCGATCGACACTTACAATCAAATTTGTCGTTGTGCGAGTGAGCCCACACCTGCCATTCGACCAATGCTTTTCGTGGCAATGCCGGCACAACGATATAATCCATGATCGCATTCGTTGTTCGGCGTTCCAACTGACGCCTCGCCTCGGCCACATAATTTGGATGTGTGACAAAGCAAATTCCCTGAACGATATCCCGTAATTGTCCATTATTCATTGCCTTTGCAATTCGTGAAATGTGTCTCAATGTTAGTTTGCATTGTGGACGAATTCCGCCTTCAATGATAGTCATACTTCCTGGCACCAGAGCGATTTGTCCTGCAAAACCATAAAAAGAGACATCAAATTACTTGTGAAACTAAGAACAACATCAATTCGATAGTTAAATAGAAAAGTCACTCCAGAATAATTTACCTGCGATGTATGTGATTTCGCCGACTTTAGTCGATTGACTGTACGGTCCAATGTTGGCTGGTGCCCAGTGTGAAATGCTTTGCACGTGCATCGTATGACGCTGATTGTTGATGTCCTTGTAACGTGGTCGAAAAGCCACCACCTCCATGATAACTTGCAAACCGTCTGGGAGCGGGCTCTCAATGCATACACGCGACGGTGGATTTTGGAAATCAAATGTTTTCACATAAACATCGTTTAGTTCGGCATAATCGTTCATGCTGCGTACATACAGCGAAACATAACACAGATTGTTGAGTTCATAACCATTTTCATTAACTATGTTCAGTAAAATATCTATTGCATTCTGCATTCCCTCTTTTGATGTAGTGCCCGTACCTTGGACGCCACCTATCCACATCCAACCGCGTGGATTGATTGCCACATTCGGTTTATTTTCGATTGGACGTTGTTCAATGTCAAAACGAAATGTTGAACTCTTCGAGAGGCTATCACTGCCGATGCCTCCGCCGCCACCACCGCCGTCATCCTGACTTATGTCAATCAAACCGTTTTTCGTCGTTCCATTCTCGTCGGGCTCGTCATCGGCAGCGAATTTCTTTGTAAGTATTCGCACCGGTGATGATAGCAACGAACCGTGGCTCAAGCTATTGCTGCGTGACATATTTGCAATTTCCTCTTTGCTCATCGATTCTTTCATGCGATTTTCCATTTCAATGAATTCCAGCTCGGTTTCGCTTAAATCCGGATCGCTCAGGTCACTGTAGCTCGATTCATTCAGGTCGCTAATGTAGTCAATTGATTTCTTGACCACAACTTCCGCTTCATTGTCACGAGTTTTCGGGATTAAACGCAATTTGGTGAAATTGATATAGCCCACCGGGCACACTGGATCCGATGAGCTAATGACCGTTTGAAAATCCTCTCTGAAAATGCAGAAAAACCAACGGCAAACCGATTAGTAATCGTAAATTTAAGGCAAAAACGAAAGGCGAAGATTAAATGTTGTGAATTTGCGTCAATGCTTGCCGGCACAAACCAAAGTTGAAACACTGTTTTTTGTAAACATTGGCTTAGCACCCAAAATATCTATCAGTCCAGCATGGCACCACGCGATCGAGACATTTGCTGATCATTGAAAAGCATTGCGCTGAGACAATTGCTGAGATTGATTCACAATGCATGCCGGCTATCTTATCAATTACTAGATTCATTCTTCTTCTTCTTTGCAACTTTGTCTCTTTCGTTGACATGATTGTTGATTTCTGTTATCAGTTGATGAAGCCGTGTAGCAAGCAAAACAAATGCACACAAATAGTCACATGGGCTTCCTCAATGAATTAAGAAAATAGAACGGATTTTTCAAAAATGTTATTGTGTCAATACGTGCAACAACAAATGCAAATGTATTTTATACGCCGAACAAACAAATAAAACAAAGCGCAAGCAAGTAGATTAAGATAGTGTTGATTCAGTGCAATCGATTTGTACACATGCAGAAACGCTGCAGGAAATAAAATAAGAGCCGCATAAAAATAAATTCCATGTGTACATTATTTATCTGTTATTTCGCGTCCGCGCGCGCTGCCGATTGTCAAGTGGAATTAGTAATCTCAACCGTGTGTATGTGGAACAATCAGCAATTATTGAATAGACAGCAATGTGTTTTGACCGCGAATGATAACGGTGAAAGAATACAGTAAAGTACAGAAGAAATGATTAAAAAAATAATGAAGGAGACAGGGTGATGTGAAGTCAAAACAAAAATTCCCATCAAAAATAAAAACAATGTTGAAAATCATTGCATCGATGGACTTTTGAAAATGAATGACAACATGCAAGTGAGGTCATCCGAGCGGGCGGACTTATCGCCGAAACAATTATTGAGCGTTTATGGAATTTCTGCGAATCTATTTATTTATTTCGAATCGAATTCGACTTTGACATTTGGTATTCCAAAGAAATCCTTTTATCAGTTAACTTATTTCGATCAGACGATTTGATAGCGCACCACAATGTATCCGTCGACCAATGAATTAATTCGTGCTGAGCATTACTCAGCTTGTTGCTATTCCTAAATTTCAACATATTCATCGATAATTTATGGCAAACAACCATCAATATGGACACGTTTAATCTAGGGGTTTCACGCAACTTAAAATTCATCTAAAATTTCAATATTTCTCTCTTTTCTCTCACATTCTCTGGGATTCACCAAAATCCGTATTATTTCGAAATATTTCAACATTCACCTTGAAAATTATGTTCTGGAAGTGGGTTTTGGTGGATCCTCAGGATCGTTCAAAACTGCTCCCGGTTCTGGAAGTGGGTTTTGGTGGATCTTCAGGATGGATCAGATTGGGTTTGACAATGGAAATGTCCATTCCTGGTCCATCCTGAGGATCCACTTCCAGAACCAGGAGCGGTTTTGAACAATCCTGAGGATCCACCAAAACCCACTTCCAGAATTTTTAGATTCAAAAAATTCTAAAAAATTCGAGTTTATGAATAAAAAGAAGCAATATTTATAGTTTACACATAAAATTGTTTTATTTCCAGCTATTTAGTAAAATCTTCGGCCTTCGAGTTTGCGTGAAACCCCTAGCGTTTAATTAGTTTAACCACTTGAGTTTGGATACTACTATATATGATATCAACCAGTACGGGGGGATAACAAAAATAATCGATGGACACACTGAGAGATAGTGATAGTGTGTGAGAGAGATGTGAGAGAAAAAGATCGGGCTGCTATACAGCCGCTAATCGGTCAATTTCAAGAATAATTCCTTTTGTTATCGATGTATCGTTACATTTTATTGTAAATATGTTATCGCAACTTGTTCCTGTGCGCATACAACATCTCGTTTTCGTGTAATTACGGTCACCGTCACCACTGGCTTGTTTTACTGCCAAATGAGATTAAGCGAAATCACGTGCTAAATCTAATTTTAAATCGTTTTTTTTCACTTTCGCGGTGTACAACAAGCGATATAGTGAGGAAGCGGGAGTGAAAAAAAATGCAAACACTTGTGAGCCCCAGCGACTATGTTTGCCACACCGAGCATTCGTGCAAATAAAGTTCAAATGGCAATGACATCATCACAACATCGTGATACACGGTGTGTATGCAAATTCGTTTTCTTTATGCAAATCGTTTAAATTATATTTCATACTTTTTTTTTACTTTCATTAAAAAGTTGACCGCGAGAATTGGAGGCAATGAGCATTTCTAATCATGAATGAAAATAACGCGATAAATGTGTTGTTTATTTTTTTATTGCTCCGTGGATGCGAAATTATGTTCTATAGAATGGCCAAAAATATCAAACGTTCCTATCATCTTTGCGGACCAATTAATAATTTAGATACTGGATTTGTATATATACCTATTTATATATAATTCGGATTGTGCGTGTATTTGAATGTGTCAAGTTCATGTAAACACGGTTTTTTTGTGTTGTTTTCAAAATGCGGAATTAATTTAGGTCAATTTAAAAGCGAAATCAACTAAAAAGTAACATTTATATGCGAAAATCGAAGAGAGAAGAGAAAAAACAAGTCACACACACTCACATGAAAATTTGCTGCTTGAATAATGGACAGTTGAGTGTAAATGTTTCGTATTCACCACCTTCACCGCACACATTTAAACCGTATTTTTCCTTCATCTTTTCGAGATGTGACTGAAGTTCACGCAACGATTTTCCCAAATGACGATCTGGCACTAAACCTAACGACGCAACCTTAATTATTATCGAATGAACTTGACAATCTATCATCTCTTGCAGAAGCTCAGTCTGATCTCTCCTCCATAAATAAGCCAGTGACACCAAATTCAAGCGCATACAACTGCAAGGGGATGGAAAATATTTCAAAGTAGAAAAATCAGTCAAATGTGAAAAATCGACGAAAAAAAAGTATGAAAAATTTCACGACAGAGAAAATTGTCATGAATATAAATGCACATACACATTTTCCACACGAACTCTTTGGTAATCAGAGAATATAGCACCAACAGCAACTGCCTCAACGTTGACTTCATCTTTGGTCATTTTCAGTAGGTTGTAAAGGTCTTCGACTTCATCGTCATCGGTTGGTACATATGATTTTCCGGTTTGCGTTGATTTTCCCTTTGTTTCCATGCGATACAACGGCAACTCCATCGCTTCGGCAAGCTTTGTAATGCCCATATGACCAACCGTCTGATACATGTAGCTATCCAATTCATCTGTGAATGGTGAATGCAGAAAGAATGGCAATATTTTTATTTAATTGAAAATCAATAAAAACACAATGTATTGTTAAAATAGAACAGTGCAGTGGCAAACCTTTGTCTTTTGGATGTAAATTAGCGAGAGCAACGATTTCATGACCCTCGGCAACGCATTTCATCATATTGTAGGAGCTGTCTTTGCCCCCGCTCACCAATGCAACCACTCTCATTGTGTCGGCTGTATCGATTGCAGCGTTCTAACGACGACGACGATGACAACAACAACAAAGAACACAGTATCTGGTCGTCTGTTCAAACACAGCGTTTTTTCATACGTTTTCGTAAAGGAACAAGAAATTATATGACAACAACAACAAAAAAATCGGTCGTGTGGTGAATTCGCCACCCGAAACGCAAACACTACCGAACAAAACGATAACAACCAAAATCAGTGTTGACTTGAATTTTTGTTTTATCCGCAAATATTTTAACTTTCGATTAATAAACACAACAGAAAAAAAAGAACACACACCTATCAACCAAATTTTAAAAAAAGAAAAAAAGGTCAACCGAAAACCGAACCGAAAACAATTATTGTTAAATAATTCTCGAGACAAAGTAAATAAATGTGTTTTTCGATTGCGATAGCCGGAGAGTGTTGGTTGCTAATGCGACGATTGGATTGGATGTGCAAGACTCCATATGCGACACAATTTGTTTTGTTTTCGTTATAAACACCAATGCAAGATACTTTGAACGGGGAAAAAATTAAAATAGTTTGCACACGGTATTGCGAGACTGAACTTCCTTTCTTTTGGAAACGAAGCGACAGACGAGTGCGAACTGTTACTGCTGAGTTCTTCTATTCCAATTAGATTAATGTTCACGTTGAATTATTATTGTGTCACATTCGATGCGCGAATTCCGTATGAACGTAGACACTCTGCAGCACCCGAATTTTGTTATTCGACTAATCGTCGTAATAAAAATTTATTTGCTCTTATCTGGTCGTCGATTGTGAAAATGTGTGTTTCACTTGCTCTATGTTTCGACTGTACACATTTTTCTTTCCGCTCGCTCGCTTGCTTGCCTGCTGCTTCTTTTTACAACGCGCAAAGTACCACCACACACCGTACACCGTGTTGTGTGTGAACTATGTGAGTCAAAACTTGTCACTTGTTTTTTCATCACTTTTATTTGGTTGCAATGTGTGCTTTCGCGCTGGCTTCAGATAACTAAAACACATTGCTCCATGCGTATGTCCTCATGTGTGTGAGTGAGTAAGTGTGCATATATATGTATATATAAATAGAGTATGTGTACGTGCTGCGTGTATGTTAGCCGTCGAAATTTGATTATCCTTAACCGTTTCGCCTGATTTGCACCAGCAGCTGCTCAGATTATATTTACCCGCGAATAATTTGCTCTCACACACTCGGTTTGCGTATACTTTTTTTTCGTTTCTTCTGCTTTGCTTTAGAATTTTAAATCCTTCTGTTCTGTGTCTTTAACACATACCCTCTGTCTCTCGTTCTCTCTTTCGACAGATATGAGTATATCAATATTTTTCGGTGATATACAATGCCATTATTAAATTATGATTACACGTCTCTGATCCACTAGTTTTGACGAAAAAAATAAATATATCGAGCAAAATGACGTGAGGGCGAAGAAAAAAACAACAAACGTAAAAAAAATGTTGCACAATGTCGTCGAACAAAAACGGAGCACAGATATATTGGGGCCTTCGATTTAAGCTGATAATTTGTGATCTGCTCGACAATTTGATCGACGAAAATATTTACACACGACACTTTTTTTGTTGTTCTTCTGCTAAGTTCTGCTTCTTGTTTCACACAAATAAAAAAAAACTAACAATTCACGTCGTGGTTGGGCGTTATGTCTAGCACAAAATCATTGTTTATTTATTTCAAGCACATGATTCGACTAAAAAAATACCTGGATATTTCAAGATGTCATCAAACGAATCAACCAATAAGAAAAGGCGAATTAAATATGCTCAGCCAAATGTATAATTTAAGGAAAACTCTATTGTATGCGATGAGAGTGTGAGCCGAGAGCAAAAAAAAATCGAGACGAAACGGAGAAAAATTTATGTGTGTGTTTATTAAAATTAGTCTCACGATGTGTGTGCATTGAGCACAATGAGCAAATATGGTCGGCGAATTAGTGCGAATATTTGACATTTTCAGCACAATTCAAAGGTCACCAATATTCAGACACATTCAGTGTGAGAACTGAGCGATGTGAGAAGTGTAGACGAAGAGAATCAACCAAATATACTTCGTAAAACACGAACGTCGTAATATCGGTTTAAAACGTATCAATTCGGTCTGTGTATGTCAATTTTCTACATTTTCAATCAGCTGGTTCGGAATGTGTCTATTCGGTTCGCATGAAGGCCTGTTCAGATCCAAGCAAAAAATCCATTTCCAATTTGAAGCTCAATCGATTCCGGAAATTTGTTATTTTAACGTTTCATCGAATTCACGCGACGTGTATCGCAATTTGAAAGCACATCTGAATAAATAAATGCCATTGATTCACTTTTTTTATCGTAGATATTTCTTTGTTTCACTTTTTTTCCGTCAAACACATTTACAATGCGTGAACCGATTCGACATGTGAACGCCACCTAACGTCCAATGTAAACACAACAAGCACATTGTTTCACGTGAGCCGCAACGAGTCACAACATAATGACCAATGTGACATTGACGTTTCGAACAAAACGTGCTGCAAACGATTAGAGTTTGTTTATACACACAGTAGCCTTATCACAGCAAATGATGCCGATGCAAATCGATTGTGGAAAATAAAATGAATTTCTAGTTTTTACGTGCAAAAATTGTGAGCGTTTATTGATTGAAAATAAATCAAAGTAAAAAATGAATGCCGAACTTCTTATCAAAGCCCGGAAAGTGTTAGTGAAGGAGCCCATTGTTGAGGTAACTTTGATTGATGTGATTTTTTTTCAACATTTCCAACCATGATATTTTGAATTTTTGTTTAATTAGAAACTAAAATTAAATTACGGAGTAGATCTCGTTCATTTCAACTGAAATAATTCCAACATTTTCCTTTTTGCGTCTCTTCTCCTAAATTTTAGTACTCGGAAACATGTCCGTATTGTGCTGCAAATGGCATAGACAACAAATTGCGGTACTACTACATCAGTTTGGAAGAGGCCATTTACAAGTGTGCTGGTTCATCGTGCTTGTACCCATTCGAACGATTTATTTTCAAGAGTTTAATCGACAATTCCGTTTACTATTACGAAGAGGTGTTTGAAGGTGGAAGAGAGGCAATCTTTCGAGTCCCATTGGATGATCAGCCCATGTATCAATCGACAACTCCTCTCTCCACCAAGTTATTCTGTGACAGCCAAAGAAATCCGAACATTGAAAGTTATGATTGTGATTTATCGGATCTTCTAAATGATTTGGAACCAGCGCCTGAACCAGAGGAAGACAAACCACAGCCTGAATCAAATGCGGTCAATCCGGACTTTTTTGAATTTCTCGATGACATTATGCCGGCCGATTTCAACACCGATAAGGTGCTCGACGAAAATGGCGTCGATGATCTAATCGATAATCTGCTCAAAGACTCGCCAGCCAAAAATGTTACACCAGTAAAATCCGTGAAAGCCGAGAGTGGCAAAAGGTCGAAAGCTGTTGCAAGCAAAGCAAAATCCGAAGCGAAACTCTCGAAATGCATTCAACACATCGAAAAAGCGAAAAGTACAAAAAGTCCGAAGACAAAGGAAAAATCGACGGAATCCTTTTCAGTGGCAATTCGTAAGGCACGCAAGAGTCAATCAAAGGTAAAAGTCGAAGAATCGCCAGTAAAAACCGAACCTGAACCGGAACAAAAGCCAGTGAAATTGAAACCACAACAAGCTTTAGCAACGAAATCATTTACTACCGCCTTAAAATCGGCCAACATACTGCGGCCCACTGCATTGGCCAAGCAATTGAGCTCCATTGACTTCACCAAAATCAACTCTGGCTTTTTGCGTCGATACATGAAGGCGAAAGAAGACAAATTGTTCGAAGGTGAACCAAGCAATTTTGAAATGGGCAATGAAAATGGTGTGCCAAAGAGTTTGGAACGGACGGCACCCAAACAAAGTAAAACTGGTGCTAGATGTGAAACGGTTACAAGTGCTTCTATGGCTGAAAATATGACAGCAAAACCAAAAGTAGCGTCGTCGAAAATGGAAATCAATAAAGAGCGCCCAACTGAAATGACTAAAGGTGAAAAGAGTAGCGTGAAAAAAGGGAAAAAAGAGAAAGAGCTATCAAAGTCAAAAGCCACCAAAAAAGACGCTAAAGCAGTTAAAGTGAAGGAAGAAAAGTCCAGAAAACATTCAGAGCCAGGTAGTTTCGAAGCACCGAAGCAGGAACTGGCCAGAAAAACTAAGGTGAAAGAAGAAAAGCCACCAAGAAAACGTACGACGAGTAAAAAGAAAGATACCGAACAGAAAATGGCCGATGGTGAAATGAAGAGCGCCGATGAAAAGGGTTCAGAGAAAGGGCCGGTGAAAAAGAATGCTCAAAAGCACATAACTTTAACGGTAACGAGTGATAATTCGACGACCGAAAGCAAAACAAAAAGCAAAAAACGTAGCTATATCAAGAAGCCAAAAGCAGATGATTCAACTGTGATCGGTGAAGATGGTGCCTCGAAGCCGAAGCGTAGACGAACCACAAAGTCAACGAAACATGTGGATGAAGACGATATTATGTCACTGCCAATTATACTCGTTACTGATACAGGTGAATTTAAACTCCCTCTTCAATCCATTCAATGACCAACATTTTGTTCGAAAAAAAAATTAAATCATTTTTTCATTTTAGAATCGGAATCGAAATCGAAATCAACTGAATTTGAACCAATTCTGAATCAAAATTGCAATCCGGCAGTCTTATCTCATGCAAACTCTGAATCGAATGTCAACTTTGCAACTGCAGAAAATGGAAACTCGAATCAAAAGTGCCTTAAATCTGTTCAATCATTGATCTCTGATGACTCTGAAAGCTCACAACTGGAGTCATTGCATGGCTTTCCACCAAGTGTAGCAAATGTGACAAGCCGAATGATCTCCGTTGAAATGGCACCGGCGCCTGCCATGGCATCTCCTGCCCAAAAATCGACGAAAAAGCGGCCAATCTACAAACATCCCAAAGCGGACAAAATCATAAAGGTTGAACCCGAAGATGATTCAAATGAAAGTGGTTCGTCGAAACGATCTCGGAAAACGTCTTCAAAGCCAAAGGCTGAAAAACTTCCGAAGCCCAAAAGAGCATCAAAATCTCAAAAAGATATTGCATTAAAAACCAAAAGCAAAATTGACTGGGTCGCTGAACTTCCAGATTTATCAGATCCAAATGAAGCGAAAGAAAATTTGCAACAAGAATTTGCTTTCGGTTTGTTAATCGAAACAGATAATGCAATTGAATATAAGCCAACGGTGCCTGATGCGCCAAATGAAGCCACCGCTGTTGCAACTGAAGCGGCTAAAGGAACAGAAGACATTTTAGCAGAGGAAACAAATCGAATCGAGACTAAAGAAACGAAAGAAATCGCGACGAAGGAAATCTTTCTCGCGGCATCGTTTGTGAAACAAGAAAAACCTCCGAAGTCCACGGGCGAATTGCAACAACCGTACATACGTAAAATAAAAGTGAAAAGGGCAGAGGACAAAAAATCCCAAATTGACAAAATTATTGCAGATTGGGACGACAGCGAGAGTGAACAAGCAAACGATCAACAAATGGCAACTGAAGGAGATTCCAATGTGGTTGAAGGCGATGACAGTCAAGAATTCGATGATGTTGCTTCAGTTATATCAATTACATCTGAAAATTCAGACAGCGTTTCGGCATTCGGTGGTGATTTTGGCCATTAAGATTTGCCATGAAAAACAGCAAAATACACATAAATTACTCATTTAAGCAGTTCAATTGTGATGCTAGTTTTAGTATCGAATTAATTTCAAAAATGAAATATTTACATATGAACTTTTTTACACGTTTATTAACAGTATATTGAAGATATAAACAATAACAATTTTCATTGTCATTGGTTTTGAAAAAAAAGAAGCCAAAATTGTCATTTATCTTATTGTAATACGAAAACTTTATATTTTTTGTTATTGAAACGTTGTCAATTGATTTGATAAATTGATTTGAATAAAATAATCGAATTGTTGGTCTCATTCGCAGTTCTTGTATGTTTGTAATCGGATGTAATCGGTTAGAGAGCAATATTTTTTCTTCGGAATTTAATTTCAAAAGCAATAACAAGATTAACAATTAATGCTAGTTGAAATTCATCGAATATTCGATGTGACGCAAAATGATTAATCATCATCGTAAGTTTCTGAGTGTTGAAACAAAATCATCAATTAAACATTTTTGTATCAAAAACGTTATTCATCACGATGACAGAACGTTCATGCGAACGAAAAATCCCGTAATGTGTTCAATAAAAGCCGAAACCAAGGCAAATCGACACAAACAGTGTAGCTCATTCAAGTTGGATGTATCACAGTAGGGTTCATGGTGTGTGACGGACGACAGCGACACGTTCAATTGAAGTGTCCAGCGTATTATATCAACAAACACCAAATACACAGACAGTCAAAATGAATTTATTCGGAACGTGTATTATAAACAATCGATATCAGTTCCAATCGTGCTTCATTCAAACGGAACAGTTTTGTGTGTGATTTGTCTTGTGTTCAATTTTCGAAATTCAGCAAAACTGTTCATATAAACAAGTGGCCATATTTAATGGTGCTATTTAAGTAAACAAAATGAAGAATTCAAAACGAGCAGCGAACATGTCGAAACTTGAGAACGCATTCGATTGTAGTAGACACTACACACAGTCAGTCACACAGATACACAACCAACGGATGAGTTCAATATAGTGAAATACACTGATTGCTTTGCTGAAGTTTTTGCACCGTTAAAGTATATTCACTCATTGGCCGTCCTGCATCGTGTCACAACAGAGCATTTTGTGTGCATGACTTTTAGTTTGGCTACTTGATTTGCATTGAACACACCACTTGGCTCGGACGAATGTGGATTATTTGCATAACCTATAACCGGCACCGACGAACGTATCGAAATGGAGAAACAACGGGATATTTATCGCCAATTAATATTGACATTGTTTAAACAGAACTTTGATTCGGCATTGTTCCAAGAAAAACGCGATGATTTGATGAAAGAAAGTGACTTTGAAACCATTCGCGACGAAATCGAAGAAGAGTATTTCATTAAAAACCGTGGCATTTCACCGTACATCAAAGCAATTAAATATTTGCGCGCAAAAATTGAAGCGTGCACTGCGGCTAAAGAATTGTTTGTTGCCGTTGAGGACTATATCAGTGCCAAGGGGAACATTGTCATTACGAAAATCGCAAAAGGTAAGTGAAATTCAGTGAAAATTGGTGAACATTGAAAGTGAATTTGAAATTAAGAACGAAAATCTGTTGAAAAAATTTGATAATTCAAAATGCGGATTTCATGATAAAAGCATTACTTTTCTGTATATGAATCACTTGTTTTGTTCATTTCGAAAGCGATTTGGCCAAAAATCCAATCAGAATCTAATCAAAGTGTATTTCCACAACAGTTGCCACGATTGAACCGACAAAAAAAGTGAAGCGCACAATGGCGCAATCGAAGGAAAAACCAATTGAAACAGTGCAAGCACATGCCGAGTGCATGTCACCCCATCCGTGCAAGAAGTGCCGCATTATGCAACGATCAGGTAAGAAAAATCTTTTTTCATCGTTTGTTGCGTGAGTTTGATTTGGTGAAAGGAACAAGAAAATGTTCGTTTCTTCTTGCAACATTTATGCATACTCTAGTAAAGAAAACTATTTTCAATTTTAGAAGGAGTCGAGCTAAAGCTGCGAAAGCCACGAATGCCACGAAAGCCGCGAAAGCAAAACCCGAAGAAGGTCAACCGTGCTGCAAAGAAGAGCGATATCAAAACTGAACCGTGCAAGCCACAATATTCCGATATTTCCGATTCAGAAACAACAACGACCGAATCGTCATTCAACAGCACCGAGTCGATGCCAGCAGTGGCTGTGGTAAAAAATGAGGAAAGACCAGTCAGTTATCAGTTGCCATACCATGACCATCAATATTCTCGTATTTCATTCTACGGTTCGGGAATGGTTGAAGATTCAGCAAAAGTCGATGAAACGAAGCCAGTGAAAAGTGAAGAAACGGTGAGCACAAACACACAAACGATGCCTAAGGCAAACAAACACACCATCAAAAGTCTGTTGAAGAAGACAATGCCGGTGCCAAATTTACTGCCAACCATTCCGCATCGATTCAAACAAAACAATGGCTTACGGCAACCATCACCGGTTTGCTTCATGCAACATACGATTTCGAGCACATCAACAATTACCACCGTTCAGGCGCCAACTGTTATTCGACCGATTCCACGACCAATTCCGCCACGACCAAGTCCCAGCGTTTTTGTCTCTGCACCGATGCCAATAAGCTTCAACGCACCCGTTGCCATGCTTCATCACCACCACCAAGGACCTGTGATCCGGCATCCAGTCTACTTCATTCGTTTCTGCGAACCACCAACACACCAATTCTATCCGAACAATCTCTTGTAGAAATGGTCAACATTTTTATTTTTAAACAAGCATTTCATTCTTACAATCTTACATATCATCATCGATTTTAACATTCATTTGGAATTAACTTTTTTTTACTTATACGGTATAACATTTTAGACTAAGATGAATTTTCCAACTATTTTTAGCTTTTTAAAAAAAATCGAATTTGCACCCAAAAATGTACGACCAAAAAGTAATAGGTAGATAATGTTATTGGGTTTTTTCTCTTTTTAAACTTGTTTTCTACCTAATTTTAGAAAGTAAACATAAATCATGCTTTAAAAAACAATTTATGGCAAGAATAAAATCAGTAAGTTACAAAGCGAAGCGATTTGTAAGCCCAACGAATTTTCAAATGTGTAAGCAATGACATGTTTTCAATAAAATACGTTTCCATAGGAATAGAAGCACATAGTTGTGTTTGTTTCAAACTCAACAGATAGGATAATGAAAGAGAGAGAGAGAGAGAGAGAGAGAGAGAGAGAGAGAGAGAGAAAGAGAGAGAGAAAGAGAGAGAGAAAGAGTTGTTGTATTCTGTTTGTGCGCTATGCATTCTATTCCGTACTAATACTAGCGCCATCGGCAACACATCATCGCAACACATAAACAACAACGCAATACGTATAATATAGATGATAGCGGTCCATAATGTTGCAGCTTAAACCAACCAACCGCACACATTCAAGCTAATACACATTTCTCCAAATTCGGTTCAGTTTTTGTTTATCCACAACAACAACAACAGTAAGAGTGAAATTGACAATACCACGAAAATTGTCGTAAATATTCGTAAATTTATTCATTACAGATGATGTGATTTTTCAACAACAACACAAAACGAAACAACACAAGGAATAGTGTGTTATTGTGTTCTTTTCTTGAGAAACCATTTCATTTTTCAATGCCACATTTTGTGTTATTCCTTTCTTTTAACTCTTTTTTCCCTATTTCGACTTGTTGCGCATTTTCAGTATGGTGACAGTTGGCGTTTGAAGTGGACGTGAAAAAGAGTCAAAGTACGACCGAATTGAAGGAGAAAAAAATGGCAAGTTGGGCGAATCTTCGGCCGGGCTACTTGAAGATGGTGGTTCAAACACTGAAGGAGAATGTGAAAAAGACATCCACTTTGGAATTGGATGATGACGTGATGACACATTATGGGATGAAGGTGGAGGAAAGTTGCTTGGAAAAGCCCCGCGGTTTGGATTCGTACACCAAGGCCATTACTGCGGCCAGATTGAAAATCGAACGATACACAGCGCAAAAAAAACTGTATCCAATGATTGCTGAAAGCCTGCACGTTGACAACAGTGAAATTGTCACAAATGCTGAAAACGATAAGGGTAAATGTGTGAGAGTGTACGCAGTACCACATAGGCTACTATGTGGTTTTTTTTTCTATTGAAAGAATGATGGTTTACCGTAACAATGGTTTTCATTTCTAGTTGCACAAAAGCGAACGATTCCACTTGATGACGATAACAAGACAGAGCCGACAAAACGATCCAAGTACAAAATGGACAGCGATGTGATTATTATCGGCTCAAGCGGTTCGGAAAATGAACAAGACAACGATGACGACGACGATGCGTCAGAAGATCATTCCAACAACAATGCACCGAAAGGAGAAATTTTGATTAGCGTGCAAACAACACCAATCGTTGAAATCATCTCCGACAAAGACTCGCAGTAGAAACATATTCCAACCGATTTAAGTCGGGCCGTTGAGTTTCAACCGAAAAACATAAATATGTTCAACAATCGAAACTAAAAGACTTTTAAAACATTCATACCATAAAATATAATTTCCACTGTACTATGTAAATACGTCGAAATGAAAAAAAATAAAATAAAATAAAAAATATCCAAAAATCAAATTATCGAAAATAAATACAAATTTCTCAGAGTTTTACCGCTTTTATTTTCTCTTGACAAATGAAGTAAATTGTCAAATGTCAAGCGTTTTTCAAATTCACGCTCGTGCCGCCACAATACATTCAAACGTGCATCTGTCAGAATCTGTCTGTGAGTATACTTTTGCGATATATTTGTTTATGGACAGAACACAAACCATGGAAGAGCCATTGAAATCAAAAATAAAAATAAAAATAAATTCGTCAAGTTCGGCTAGTTCGTCCAAAAGCAAGAAAGATGGCAAAGAAAAGGACGAATTTTCATCTGAATTTCTGCGTGTAAAATTGCGTGAATTCTTCAATCATTCGGATTTCAAAAGCACCCTACAGAAAGATGCCATCAAAGAGATTATGAGAGGTACGGATTTCAAATTAAAAATAGGTATTTATGCTTGTGACTATACTATTTCATGGGTTTGTCTTTGTATGATAAACACAGGAAAGCACGATGTTTTCATTTCGATGCCAACTGGAAGTGGCAAATCGTTGTGCTATCAACTACCTGGTATGCTTCACGACAACAAAATCACCATCGTCTTTTCACCGCTAATTGCATTGATCAAAGATCAAATGGACCATCTGACCAAGCTGAAAATATGCGCTGAATCACTGAACTCGAAGATGACAGTCAAAGAACGCGAGCGAGTCATCAATGATCTGAGGAGCATAAAACCAAGCACGAAATTCCTTTACATCACACCGGAACAGGCGGCAACAGATTTCTTCCGCGGGCTACTTGATTCTATTGTAAAATACAACAAATTAGCTCTAGTGGCCGTTGATGAGGTTAGTGCAAGCTGTGAATTTGAATGTTGATTCGATTTTCTTTCTGGCTAAACCAAGATAAGTTAATTCGGTGGATTTTACAACATGAAGCAATTAGTTCGCTCGTTAGAGGTATAGTTTCAGTAGATGTTTATTTGGCACTGAATTTTCTCTAGAAGCAATTTTTAAACCATTTCATCACCTATTTATTAAAGTATTACGTTGTAAAAATCTAATTTCGATCCTTTTTCTCAATTGACAGTGCCATTGTGTGTCAGAGATGGGTCATCAGTTCCGCAAAGACTATTTGAAATTGGGTCAGTTGCGATTGCGTTATCCTACCATCAAATGGATTGCGTTGACTGCGACTGCATCAAAAGATGTCCGTCACGATGTGTTGAAGCAATTGTCATTGAAAGAGACAAAATCATTCAAAACGCCATGCTTCCGGAAAAACCTCTTCTACGACATAATCTACAAAAATTCCATCCAAGACGACTACATTCATTTGAAAGAGTTTGCGCTCAAGTGTTTGAAAAGTACAACGCCCGATGAAGAATCGAACAAAGCACCGTGTGGAATAATTTATTGCCGAACAAGAGAGAGTGTGGAGCGTGTTGCGATTGGATTGTCAAAGCAAAATGTGGCCACCAAAGCCTATCATGCCGGTTTGAATGACAAAGAAAGAAAGCAAACTCAGGAAGATTGGACCAATGGAAAATTCCCCGTAATTTGTGCCACAAACAGTTTTGGAATGGGAGTGGACAAGTCATCGGTGCGGTTTGTTGTGCATTGGGATGTTCCACAAAACATTGCCGCGTATTACCAAGAGTCTGGCCGTGCTGGTCGTGATGGAAAATCTTCATATTGTCGTTTGTATTACTGTCGTCAAGAGGTGAAGACAATCAATTTTCTGTTGAACCAACAACTTCAAAAGGATCCGGAAAATGTAAAATCCAAGCGTTCGGTGAAAGAATTTGGTAAACTCATCGACCATTGTGAATCACTGCGATGCCGTCACCTGCTATTCTCCCACTACTTTGGTGATCAGGCACCGGATTGCAAAAAACGGCAACTGTGTGATGTGTGCAAGGACCGAAAGAAGGCGGAGACAAATCTTGAAACATTTCATCGATTAGCTATGAACAGTTTTAACAGTAAAATTATGAAGGATGCTGATTTTGATGGCTCAGATTTGTATGAAGGCGGTCGAAATGCAGTTCGCGAAGCCGAAGCTTCGTACTCGGTTGATGATGATGACGATAATTTTGGCAGTTCTTCAAAACGTGATGCCAAAGCGAAGAAAGAAACCACAAATCTCATTCAGAAAGAATTCGAACGGCGAAAGCAGAAAATTGAATTGGCCAAAAAGCTTGAAGAAACACAAACCCGATCGTTTGGCATTCGCATTAGGAGCAGCATTCACACGAGCAAAATTCCAGGTTTGGATGTGAAGAAACGAGAAAGCTATTTGGACTATTTGCTGAAAGCACTCAGAGAGAATGTTGAGAAAGTCACCGAGAAACCACCACATGAATTTAAAGCCCGTGATTTTGAAGATATTGCCGCCGAATTGGAGTACAATTGCTTTACGAAAAATCGAGTGCTCGCGATGTACACAAAAGCAGTCACCGTTGAACGTCTACGCATTGATCGAAGCACCAAAAATAAGGAATTATTGCTGGAGATCAAAAATCATACACCGAAAAAGCGAGTTGCGCATGGCGGTTCCTCCGAAGCGATGCAGAGAGATTTGAACGATTTTATGAAAGAGCATAATATTCAAGCTGATTCAAATAATATAACGGACACACCGAACACAAATAATACACACACAAACGGTAAGTTACACATATTTGCATAAAGCACCCAATTCGCAACAGTAGCGCCACGTGACGTTTATTAATAGAATCATAAGAAAATGCAAACCGTGCACTTGACATTTGTTGTTCTTGTTTTTTTCTCTTTTTTCTTTTAGTGGGTTTTCAGACAGCACGTCAAATCAACAATAAACTCAAAGAGCCGAATCGCATGAAAAAGGATCCACTGACCCAAATGTCGATCAATTCATTCTTTTCCACCGCATCGATTAAACGTGAGCCAGAAGATCATGTGGATGACAACGAAAATGAGGTGGAGAATACGCAACAGGCTAAGCGTCGCAAGGTGGAAAATGAAAGAGTCACCGTCAAAGCGGAACCCATGGAAACGACCGAACATGAGGTGTCATTAAATGTTAAAGGTGAACCGATTGACTATGATTCGGATGCCGGAACTGAAAAAGGTAGCGATGATGAAATGGACACAGAGAGAGTGATTCAATCAAATAATGCGAACAGTGGTGCTAGTGTTGGGCCAACAATCAATAAAAAAACTGAGCAGAACAAAGGCACAGCACAGCACACGCAAAATAAATCAAACATACAAAGCCCGCCAACGAATATGGTAAATGTCAAAATGGAGCAAAATTCTGATGAAGAAAATGACGACACAGATGAAGCTAGTGATGGTGAAGATGATTACTGTGCGAATCGGGTGAATAAACGTCCAGCAAATCGAAGTGAAACCGATCAACAAAAAAAATCAAAATCCACGCATCAAAATGTTGAACCGCAAGTATTAGAACAGAGGCGGATCAAAACGGAGCCGATCGTTGAGGAGGAATTGACGGCAATGGTTGTTGCCCAGCCAGGGCGTTTCGAAGAAAACGTCAAGAATGAGCCTGATGACGAACTAATCCAATCCGATGTAGAAACGGATGATGAAACTCAGTTGTACAACACAAACACATCGAGCACATCGCAGTATCGCAATCAAAATGGCGAACGGCCAGTACAAGATACACGTCAATCAAACGATGATCGATACCATTTTCAAAGAGAACAACAATATCAGCAACCATCGGCATTGAACAGTGATTATCAACAGCCGTCGACAACGCGAAGCAGTTACGATTCATTTGCGTCTGCATCAACAAGTCGTCAAAATGAACCATATATCACCAACAATCATTATCCACAACGTGAAGATTCATTATACACAGTTGGATCAAGATCCACCCGTCAAGTGTATACAGCCGATGGCAAGTCGCTCATACGATTTAATGAGCTCAATGCCGCCGCAGAAGAGCCAACAACTGTCGATCATGATGATGTTGACGATGATCCAGATATCGATTTGGACGATTTGGGCGAAGAAATTGCGAAATATCGCGGCGTTTTAGAGAAGCAATATGAAGAAGACCTTAAGCAAATACAAAACACGAAATTAGAATCGTTAAATCCAACTGCTCAGATGGACTTTATGAGGCGTTTGAATGAATTGGAGAAAACAAAGCAAAAAATTCTGAATGAGCATGTGCAAGAAGCGGCCCAAAAAAACGAAGAAGAACGTGAAAAAGTACGTGATACGTATATGCTCGGTTTATTTGGATTCAACTTTGATTTGTTGAAATTCGATCATCGTATGGGCATTGACTCAAATCAATCGGCACCGTCAAGCTCAAGACGAAACTCCTCGTCGGAAGTCGATGAAAAAAAGAAAGAAAAAATCACGTACAATGAATTCATGGCCAAGTCAAAAGTCAAATCGGAGCACCAGAAGACCATGAAACAACACATTGCCACCTTGGCATTGAACGATCACATTCACCGTATGCAAAATGTAAATAAACTGCATACCGTACCGCAAAAAGTGATTGATAACATCAAAAATGACAAAACCATCATAAAAAATAAGGTGGACCGATATTTGATGCCATATTTCAAAAACGGAACAATCAACGAGCATAACTATAAGGTCATTTGCAAGACTATCACTCAACATCATTTCGAAGCGAACGATCATGGTAAGCGAAAAATTGAAAACACAACAGATTCATTCTTCATTTTTTTTCTAGGTTTCTCTCTCTCTCTCTCTCTTTCTCTCTCTCTCTCTCTCTCTCTCTCTCTCTTTGGAATGACATTGAATGTTTCGTTTACATTTTATCCATTTCAGACTCCGAGTCCATTCGACAACGTGTTGAAAAATTGGTGAAGGCGGCATTAGCAGCCAAAGAGAAACACAAACAAGCCAGACAAGCACCGAGCACCTGAAGACACAAAATATGCTGCTTAAAACATTACCTTCCATTTTCTTTAAGTATTTTTTTCTCTCTCTATTTTGTTATTGTCAAACACCACCGTTTTTTTTATATTTTTGAACATTTATTATTATTGTAGTTGACCATTAATGAAGTCGAAAAAAAACTTCAACACAAAAAGAATATCGTAACGAATCAAATAAAATAAATTTCTATTATTTTCTACGAATATACATACAATAAAAAAACTGTTGATCTGAATAAATAAAAAAAAAATTGAATAATTATCCCATAAAATTTAAAACATTTGTTGCTGGTTGTTCGATCATTTTAAATTGAGAAAAATAAATTGCAAAAATATGTGCCTTCTCGTTGTCATCATCATCGTCGTCCTATTTTCTTGGAAGCTTTAATCTGCTGGTTTTGCGTTATGACGCATTGTTTGCTACGCTCTGATAATATTCAACTAGAATTTTCCACGCTTTTGCCTCCATAAAGCCATCTGGTGGTAGTTCACCAGTTCGAGCAAAATCTGCAGAAAAAATACGAAAAAAAGAATTAATAGGGAATATGTAAAATGTGAGAAAAAACAACGATTCAATGATTATTTAAACTGTCACTCACTTCTCATCTTCGTGCCTGAGATGAATACAAAGTCGTCCTTTCGTTTTGGTTCGAAAAATGCCATTTGCGATGTGGTTTTATCGTAAGCTGCAACGCGGAACGGAATGATTTCGAGCATGTCAAGACCGGGTGCCATTCGAAGAACTCGTTGGCCATGCGTTGCATCGTATAGATCACCGTCTGGATATGTTTCTTTGTTTGGATGTGGCATACCGGCAGGATCTCTGCCCACAATATAGAAATTGGCACCGGCATTCATGCGCGATTTTGCATGCCATTGCACTTCGGTCGGTCCGGCATACATCATGGGTGATGGGAATATGGCAAGCACGGTGTGTTCTCGTTCCAAAACGCCCGAATCAAGCACCGCCTGATGCTGTTTCATGCGAACATCTAACGGCACATCATCGTCCTTTGTCCAGCCACCCAATGGATGCAACAATAAAATCGGATTCTTATAGTTTCGTTCGAGCAATTGTCGACGACAGTCTCTCATTAGTAATGCATGCCCATTGTGAATGGGATTTCGCAATTGGAATGCAAATACGGCGTCAGCATTTAATTCCCTGAATTTTTCACGCAACTCATTCGGTGTTAGGCGATATTCGTCAAGACCGTCATTCCATCGAATTCGTTCGATTACCTCCAAATCGCCACCGATTAAGTACGGACCGGACTCGTAAATCATTTTGATATAAGGGTGTCCACGATCGTTCGTTCCAAATTGACGTGAGCAACGCTCCTCTTTTCGTTGATAATAAATTTCGGCCTTGCGTAGAATTGCAACGGCTTTGCCGTTGTAAAATAGGGAAATTGCACTTGAATCGCCAAAACGCTTTTTGTCTGCTTCCGTACATGATAGAACAATTGGAACCGATTGATTCTCACGTATCGACGGCTCATGCTCATTGCGAATGCAGTCGAAGTGCAACACCTGGAGATACTCTTGTTCACGCATGAAACCACTCAATGGATACGCCCAACCTTCCGACAATATTTGCAACCATTGCAATTCAACGGTGGATATATCCAAACGTGGCAATGTATTCGCTTCAGACGTTACCGCCTCTCGTCGTTCTGACGCCACAAATAATTCGGGAATCTGTAAAGAGCGAAATGAAGTTGCCAAATTCGAAATATGAAAACTTTTTTCGAATCAACAATTGTCAAACAGTCTAAACAATGTGCCACTTACAACTTCAATCTCACGCAAATTCCGTGGAATGATATTTTCCTTCTCCAGAAAATCGATAACGCGATTTCTTGACTCCTGAATTGAGATATCTACGGTTGTTACGACTAAATCGGGGCTTTCGGGCGATTCATATTTCTACACAAGCAACGAGAAAATTGGTTTAATTTCATGCCATTTGATTGAAGAAAAGAGGAAATGAAATGTGTAGTGTACCTGTGATACTCCAGTGAATCCTTCAATTAATCCACCTCGAGCCTTCTTGTACAATCCCTTAACGTCGCGCACCTCACATACATTCAATGGTGTATTGACGAATATTTCGTAGAATCTAAAAATAACAAAAATGAATTGAATTATTTGAAGTAATTTTTTTTCTCAAATCGTTTGAATATTTTAGATTAATTTCCGTTATTTTTCATTCGGATCAACTGTTGTTGAAACTAAACCGCTCAAGAATCACCAAAAACCAACTTACTTCAAATCGGCATCCTTATGAATTTTCCGTGCCATCTCCCGATCATCGGCAAATGGTGAGACAAAGCTGCAAATAGCAATTTGGCCACTGTCGGCAAAAAGTTTTGCCACTTCGGCAACTCGTCGAATGTTCTCCTCTCGGTCTGATTGGCTAAAGCCGAGATTTTTGTTCAATCCCGTGCGAATGTTGTCGCCATCTAAGCCATAGGCAGGAATACCTCTGGACACCAAAAATGCTTCGAGTTCAAATGCAATCGTCGTTTTTCCAGCTCCACTCAAGCCTGTCAGCCATACCGTGCATCCGCGAAAGCCACGGCAAATACCAAGATTCTGTCCTCGCACCTCCCGAGTAACATGGTGTTTCTGTTCAACAACATTCGTTGCGACTTGAAGACACTATCGAGAGAGAGAGAGAGAGAGAGAGAGAGAGAGAGAGAGAGAGAGAGAAAAAGAGTAAACAAACACATGCATAAATTAAACAGGTTAGGCCAGAAAAAATATCTTTTGGCAGAAGAAATCACCGACAAAAGAGTCAAAAGTAAGAAATGAAAAAAAAGCGAAGAGTGTTCGAATGTTGAGTCAGTTATAAAACATTCGCATCTATTTATTCAAATGATTGACTATGCCATTTCCCGTTAAGTTGAACAAACTCTGCTAACACACTTTAATTCATTAGAATCGAGTGGGTACGACGTTAAAATGAGAGCCAGCTAAGAGACTTAATTGACCATATCACGATGCGTGTCTAGCGCTTTGGCTCAGGTGATACAAGTGTTTAGTGCTTTTACTTCGGCTGCAAATATAATATAAATAGCGATCGTTATATGTGTCAATTCTTCAATTCTTCATACTCATGTTTAGACCCGTTCACGATGGGAGAAGACGTTCGAATGCGTTTGCACAGAAATTATTGTAATGAAAAATGAGCACATGCTTAGCAAAATACACAGAAAAATCCATTAACTTAATTTATTTTTGTTGAGATCGTTTAGCTTAACAAAACATGTATGAGCTAAGATTAAGTACCGGCTGGAACTTTCTTCATATGTAAACAAACTCGCTGGATACATGTTCATAAAAAAAAATAGTTTTATCTTAGAGAAAACAAACACCTCACTAGCTGAATGGCCTGAAAGATTTGGATATAATGTGTTGTCGCTACCGCTGCTGCTGTTGTTTACCATTCAATAAGTAATGAAATACGGGAAAGCGGACACGAATTATACGAGAAAAAAAGCCCTCGATTTCGCAATTGCACTTTTCTTTCGTAATACACAACCAAACGACCGCATTTCAGTTTTCAGAACAAAAACGAGTTTTTGCCATTTATACAACGGCATGAATATGTACGTGTACGATACCATCGAACGGTGTGTATTTTCTGTTGGGCAAATGTTACCAAACCAACGGACTTTCTCGACAAATGAATTGGAAGAAAGTAAAAATGGTGATTGCGTCGATGGGTTGTTGGCGCTGCACCGAACGTCTGTGCAAATGTGATTGAAACGAAAAAAAATGTAATAAATAACACTTCGTCTTCGATCTGGCTCATTGCTTTTTCTTTTTTTTCTCACACACATTTTCCCGTGCAATTTTAATTGATATCACATGACAAATAGACGGATTTTTCTTTCTCCGGTTAAAAGTGACACAAACTAATTGATGTCTTGATTTGCATTTGGTATGTATGTATACGTACGAACCTCTGGCGTTGAGCAATTGCAATTATTGTGTTGTAAACAGAATTTCTGTACACGACCATCGATCCCTTGTTTGATATTATTGTTGTTGTTGTTGTTGTTGTTATTATTATTCAAATAGAAATCATCGTGTGCTGTTAAGTTAAGCTTGCAGCGTCGTTTCACATTTAACATATTGAAGTCACTGGTATTTTTTGTTCAACACCACAAAAACACAAAATGATAATTTTAAGATTATCAAAAGAAAAATTATGACACGATTTTTTTTGGTTTTTTTTTTTGAATTGATGAACACAACGTAACAATAAAGCGGATTAGCTACAAGAGTTGTCACTGCTTAACACCTCGCTTTGAATCGAATGACTTTCTCTTCTTTCACTTTAACTGCAAGCAATTTCTTTCGCTTTTTTCTTTGGAAGATTGCGTGCTGTGTGTGTTCGACGACTCGTTGTGCGGTAAGCGAAGTCCAAAGCAACACTGAGAGTCGCTCTGGCTGCGCCAGTCGATTTTAAACAATATCAACAGACACACAAGAAAGAGAGAGAGAGAGAAACAAGAATACAAGAGCACCGTGAACAAACAGTAGGCATTGATGCTAGTTCATTTTCTTTCGAACAAAAAATAGACGTTGGTCGACTCTCTCAAGCCACCACTATTCATACGAACACGAGTTTCAAGTATTGTTGTGAAGTAATATGTTTGATTTTTAATTTGCAATTTAAACTCTTGGAGGAATCTTGGAACTATGTTTGTTTATTACCTACGACTCATTTTCCGTTAACATATTTTCTTTCAGTTTGAGGCCTATGTTTTGGTGTTTGTTTTGGAAATATTCCATTGATCAAAAGGTATTTCTTCGGAATGTCAACTCTTAACTGCATTTTTATGTGTGGAAAATTGATATTATAAGCCATACATTATAGTAAATACCTTATAAAAGTATGCTTTATACAGTTTTGAATTCAAATTTACTCCAAAAAAATAAATTTTGTCTTACGGCCAATTTATGTTGTTCGGGATACATTTAATCCGAGGGGTAAAATGGTTTTTCGTCAGAAGACCAAATTTTTCGATAAAATTTATACCTATCACATAGGAAATTGATGCTAAACTCCATTCCAGCTATTAATAATGTTGAAAACTTCAATTTTTTGCTTAAATTCTCCGCTTTCTCGTCATAAATTTTGATAATAATGACATTTCGAATCAGTTTTCGGTCATACATTTTTTGTTACCTCTCAGATTTTTACCCCTCGGGATAATTTTTTTTTCAAATATCTTGATGTGAAAAAATATTTGAAATACTTTTAACATTATTAATAGCCGGAATGGAGTTTAGCATCAATTTCCTATGTGATAGGTATAAATTTTATCGAAAAATTTGGTCTTCTGACGAAAATCCATTTTACCCCTCGCATTAAATGTATCCCGAACAACATAAATTGGCCGTTACTTATCCTAATTTTGGATTATTTTTACGAAAAAAATCAATTGTACCAAATCCAAACATTCTTCCCTGTTTATGACCTCAGACACTATAAATGACCCCATACACTAGACAAATTACGCTATAACTTTTCAATTTCAAGTTGTATGATGTTATAACTTTCTGATATCTTCAATCTCGTTGAAAAACGCATTTTGAGCTCTTATTTGTCAAAATTGGTTCAAAATAACCCGAGATAATTTGACTTAAAGTGAAAATTTACGTTAGCTGTAATAATAGCCCAAATTACTCGAATTATCGCTCAAATCCGATTTTATCTCATAATCAAGAATATTCCAAGAATATGAAGTTCCATCTTCATTATGAACCATATCTTCTTTAGATATGACAGGTTCTTTCAGTGTCATAGTCACAAAATGACACTCAAATTGATAAATTATCATTTTTTGTCGAATAATTAAATTTATCGCTTTTTATGTATAGCTTACATCAACTCGATGGTATACTCATTTGATCCCCTTTTAATACGCCTTTTCAAAAAATATATAAGATTGTTTCACAAATATTTGAAGATTATTCAAAAATCAAGCAAAATAGCCAAAAAAATGCTCAAAAATACGTATGTATCAAATGATTCAAGACGACAATCTAGTATGATGTTTTAAAAATCATCATATCCAAGTAATTTTAGGATCAGTATTGACAAAAATATGCTTAAAACATGCGGAATGCCGAATGCTGCGTTTAAATTATTGGTTCAAAATGGTATTATTTAGGAAAAAAAATGTTTTCGTTCCATTTTTAGCGATTTTTCTCTTGGCGTCCATATGACCGCACATTTAAGTAAATGTAACTTTTTACTTATTACAGACAAACGGTTAAATCTATCATAAATCGATTGCAATTAATTGTGCTAATTGTTTCAGTGACAACTTTAGTTTAATCATTATTTATTTTGCATTAAATACCTGATTTTTATTCATCCATGTTCGACCCTTCAATGGGTGAACATATGGTGGATATCGACCGTTTGAATAACCAACCATTGTGGAAAAAAATTACTTGAAAATTCAACTATTTTATTTTATAAATCTGTAATCTTTAAAACTCAACTATGAAAAACTGTTGGGGAAATCACTTGGAACCAAATGAAACTGTCCTTGTCTACTGTTGATCGCCTGAAGTGAAAACACTGTTTGAAATGAAATACTGGTTTTGCTCAACATTTATATGCGACAAAAAAAAGAAATAATAACAGCACTGGCAGCAATATTAATAAATAAATAAACACTTGAAAATTATCGTTGGTTTGACAGTCATCGATGACTGTCAATATGAAGATAAACATTAAAAATGGTTTTCACAATAGCTCGACAACTTGTTGGTGAGACACATGCTCAAGCTAGAGATGATGGATTATGTCTCGTTGAGCAAACTTAATCCGAAAGAATCCAAGAAAATAAACCACTTGCAAAATGCTACTTGTTGGGTGGAAACTGCAGTAATAAATATATGAAATGTATGCATGACGACAACACATCAAATATTAATACGTATAGGTACTACACACAACTTTATCGCGTCAGCACTTTGAATTACAAATCGTTATACAGCTCCGAAGCGATGAATAACCATTGATATCATATCAATTGTGCGTCAACTGAGATGTGATACGGTACATATCATATATAAAATCAGATGTGAAACGTTCATTTGCTCCAAATGATTAGCGATTCGTTAATAACTGAGATAAATTTGCGGTTAGTGAGGTAAAATGATTCTGATTGAAATTCAGTTTTTATGTGAGAATTCATATTTTGCACTCAATCAATAGTTAAGTATTTCAGTGCACGACCCATTCTTAGCACACGATTGACAAAGAGAAGAAAAATACGACTGAATCGAAAAGAAAAGAAAACAATAACCATTAAGAGGGCATTGATATTAAAACTCATCGTAGAAATGAGTTCACTGAGCACACATATATCGTTTCAATGCAATCGAGTTGTAAGCATATGGCACCTTTTTTTTCAACCATATCTAGGGCATATGCATTTGTTCGCACGCATATTTTTGCTCAACGAATGGCCCATATGTTGGGCTTCCTTTCATTTTTCGGCAAATTTTGGTGATTTTTCATTCAAACGATACCGAATTGTTTCGAGCGGAAATACTTACTGTTTTCTGCTTTTTAATGATATGATTATTTTCTTCTGACATTGGTGCTGATTTTCTTTTATTCTACGAAAGCGTATGTTTCTGTAGTTACTGTGAATGACAGAAAAATATCTTGTTAATGTTTTACGTCATTTTTGATTCAGTTGTTGCGAGTGAATTCATTTACAATTATTAAAATGTCTCAATGTAAATATACAACAATTCTTTATTTGGTGGAAATTGTCTGAAAACAGAAGGCAAACGTTTGTTCTTCTGTTATTGATATTGTTCAAATTATAAACTCATTAAATCCGTAATAAAAATGTTTGTTTATTGACGTACACGTTTTGTTCAGCCGGACACACAAAATAAAACACCTTTTTTTATCTCCTAATTTTACACAAATATGTATTTAATATTTTACTTTGCGGAGCACAATCGATTTTTCGTGGAATCTCTCATTCTTTGTTGTCCTGATGGCAGACCAATTTTCATTTGAGATTATTTTAATGATAATAATCCGACTAATTATGGAAATTCCACGAATTGTGTAGAGTGGCAAAACTGCCGATGGGCCACTACACAGACGGACAGACAGACAAACAGACAGAGAAACTATTATTTACACACTTCTGCTTAGAAAACGACACAATTCATTCATTACTGATAAATCTGTGCTAAAATACAAACATTGTGCATGCTTCTACTGCGGCTGTTTTCGCTTTGCACTTACTCACACACACATACAGACACGTACGGTGCGTACAGCATGACTTTGACATATCTGTCACATTCTAAACATTTCGTTTTCGAAAAGCTCGTCAAGCCGATGCCGCGCCATCTGTCCGAATACGAGCGGCGACAGTTGCTCATTGACTGGAACGTGATGTTGAATGGATTTTTTTGATTTTCACGGGATTCATCATTGAATTACGTAGATCGGCTATTGAAAATGGATTCAGTTGATTTCTCTTTCCCTTACAATATCAGTTTAAAAAGTGCTATCGACTGCATCATTTACTTTGCCATTATGTAAGCGGGGCGGGAATCAAACAAGCCGCTATTTGTCTGATTAGACCGTTTTAAGCCAAAGTTACCAATGCGTTATCAACACTAACGGATTACACTTTCGTAATGTCGTCTGATAAGATAACCTTTACAGAGCGTGCATTTGCACGTAAACTGGGGGTACACCATTGACACGCAACAAGCAAAAACAAATAGCAGCCGATAAACTGTGAAACGAAAACAACAAACAAAATTGAAACCACTGCAAATGTGTATTTTGAGGAAGTTCAACTTTATTCGATTGATTGATATTGATTGGCGTCGCACCAGCGACTTTGATACAAACATCATTCGAACAACAAGAAGATTGAGAAAGAAAATAGTTTACAATTTACAAATAAAGTACAAAAATAAATGGTCGAAATATTCTACATGCCTAAAATATTTGAAAATAATTGCTTATTGGATGTTGAACATCTTCAAAAAATTATGACTCTGAGGCGTACAACAGGTACACCGCCGATATTGATCTACTAACTTCAACACCTCTCTAAAATCTTAACATTTTTTTTTATTTTCTCTAATTTTCTACAATTATCCGATCATTACGATCTAATTCATCAAGTACTCTCAAGTTAGACAACAATTAAAACTACGTTCTCTTTCTGCATGTTTTTTTTGCCCAAATATAGAAGATGTAAACTGCATGCAACAACAACTGCTTTTTTATGTAAGAGTTAATCTAATGATCCAGAATGCGCATGTTGCCAGACACGATTTTGTTTTCCAGAATGGCGCCTGCTGGAATATCGATTCGGTCACCGTGATTTGCAATAATGATAACCGTTCCCTGTTTACATAAAAGCAAAGAAGAAAAACAAGGAAGATAAGATTAGATTAGATTTTCTTTTTTGTCGATTTGCATGATAATTACTCTCAACGAAACGCCTCGGCCGAATGTCACATCGCCAGACACCGTCAAATGATCCAATTCAATGATGTCAGGAATATTGGCGAATCTTTAGAAGAGGAAAAAAAGTGTGAACTATTTAGTTGACCCTGACTCAAACAAACTCTGACGAAATGAAGACAATCACCTTGATAAGAATTGTTTGACTTTGCTGAAATGATTGTCGCCAAGTTTAACGAGCGGAGTCGTTGGGAACATACGTTGTGGTGACATAACCAATGAGCCGCCTTTGAGACTGTACAGATTTGACATGACCAACAACAAATCGGAGGTTTTTTTGACGGGCAAGAACCGAGATCGTGGCACATTCACACCAATTGCACCTTCGAAGCATTTCATAGCTGCACCGACAGCGGTTTCCAATTGAATTACACGCAACCCATTGTCCAACGTCTTGTTGTTCACGATGATTTCCATGTTCAATTTTTTGGCATTCAATACGCTTTCGATGGATTTCAATGAGGCCCACAAATTGTTTGTGTTGAAAAATTTGAACGTTTTCACCGATTTAAAGTCATCGACGTGTTCGTTTGGCACTTGAGCGATTTCCAATAGACGCAATTTGTTTTCGTATTGAATCAACGTACCACCTTTTACGTCAGCACGAGTTTTATCTGTCACTTCCATCACGAATTCAATTGGTTTGCCCGATTTTTCGCCCAGCAATTTATTGAGAATGTTTAAATCGACGGTGGCGCCCAAGTTATCGATATTCGACAAGAAACAGTATTCACGGCCCTCTTCGATGAATTGACGCAACAATCCCGAGTTTTGGAACGATTCGTAGAAGTCACCGTGACCTGGTGGATACCAACTAAATCGGAAACAAAAAAATACCATCAGAAAATGGTTCAGAACAAAGACAAATTGTGAGAACCTACGCTTCCATATCATTTTCAATGTTGTAATCCTTGGCAATCGGCAACATGGAGTCACGTGAGATACGTGGGAAGCAACTCTGGTTGAATGTGTAGATCTTGACTTGGAAACCTTTGTACTTGCGGATAATTTTCTCCGTGTCTTCGTCCGTGTTGAATGAGTTCATTAGCACGAGCGGGACATCGGCGTTGTATGTTTTGTTCAATGTCTCAATTTGTTGCACCGTTAAATCCAGAAACGTCAAATCGTTACGCACTGGGATCACACTTTTTGGCCCATGGCATCCCATGGACGTACCCAAACCACCATTCAATTTGATGACAACCAATTTGTTTAGGTGCTCACGAATCTTTGGGATTAAAAACAGACATTTCAAATTGAGTTAATTTTTTTGTTTATACATAAATATTTAAATTGAATAATAAATACAACATTTTCTTTTCGATTCGGAGGTGATCAGAATCTTTGTGTCTATGTAAGGCGAATCATAGAATAGAAATGCCCCAAGCAAAACGATTTAAACAAACGCAGCAAATTAGAAATGCATTTGAACTCAAAATGTAATCTACTTACAGTGTTTTCATCCTTTGGAGCGGTGAGTGTTGCATAGTCTTGGACAGCATTTGCGGGTAGTTTTTGAATTTTATCCCATTCAACACTTGGACCCTCTTCCTGCAGGAAACGACCAAACAAAGCGGCAAACCGTTCCATCTCATTGTCATAGAAGTTTTTTTGCTCATCAGTTTTCAATGTGTTCAAGAGAGTTTTCAGTTCAAGTTCGAAGTGCATCAATGCGTCGCGTTTGGTGACTTCATGAAACTCCTTGGTGTCGGATGCATTGCGTTGGTGGCCGCGAACCTACAAAAGAACATACAACTCGTGATTAGTTTAAACAAACCAAAAGCACGTCTTCACTTTTTCAAATCAGGTGTTTCGAGGGGAAAAAAGTCTATCATCATGACTAATTGAATTTACCGTTGCACTTCATCAATGTTGAGTGTAATTTTTAAAAACGTGACATAAAAAAATTACAATCTATCAAATCTGAATGGATTTTAATGGCTAATATCATGCATTTCAGCCGTTGTAATTGAACAACCTCGATAATGGCATTATCATAATGGTTCTATTCATTATGGAATCTCATCTTTTTCAAAGCGATAAAAAGTTGCACTCTCTAAATTATCATGACTTGTCACCATACTTTCTTCATGTAATACAAAGAAATCAGTACAAGATTCGTTCAAATATAATAATCATTTAAGTCAATTGAAAAGGAAAAAATATCAATGTAATTTCGAAATTTCAAGAGAAAAAAAATTCAAAGCCGATCGTAAAATCGGTTTATATACAAAATTCGTGAAAATAGAGCACTGAGTATATCGAACACATCTTCGAACCTCAATTATCACTGACGTCACAATCGCAATGTCAAATGGCATCGCAAAGGAAAAAATATTCTGTTCAACGTTCAATGGTTAACTGGTTTAAGGAGATATACCGATGTGCACTGGACGATAGGCTAATTAACTGCTTTTTTCACTTTCTCGGACTTTTTTTTTGCTCATTTTAACAGCTTTTTCTACTGTTTTCATCTAGCTTTTTTTACTTGAAAGCAAAAATTTTTCACTTGCAGAATCTTCCACAACTTATCAGTATTTAACGGCCCTGCACCTTGATCTTGCTTTTATGAGCTAAAACAATTGCGTCGTAACTATCTAATTAAACGTCATTCATTTAACTATTAATTCTAACTTAACTTAACTTAATTCTAACTTAGATACTCGTTTCAAAACAGCATCATTCGACTTGTTCGAGAAAACTATGTTGAATAAACACACTCGATTCGATTTGGTTTGGTTTGAAAAAAGCGGCTAATCAAATATTTGGTTCTGAAAGTCGATCGATTTCAGAGAAGTCATTTCGATTGTTTTTAATGGAAATTTTCAACAACACAATTGTGATTTATCAAAAATTGTTAACATTTTACATTGATCTATCATTGATAACATTCGTTCAAAAATATTTCTTCTATCGAATGGAACTTACTTGGCTCATCAAAATATCCAAAGGTCCTGGCATTTTGTTTTAGAAAATTTCAAGTATTTCGGTAGCGAAAAAAAGTGTAAAAAAAAGTTTTCTTTAGAATTCAGCCGGATCAAAATCCCGACTACAACAATAAATGACCGAAATACTTAAAATTGTAAATAGAAAAAAAATTGCACTCAACAACATATGCGACTTAAATTGAAAAGAATTAATGTGAAATAAATCGTTAGCACTCGATGTGAATTGTGAGTGTTCTGGAATAAAGTCGACACTTGACTGGATGCCGTCGGTTTGTACAACTGTTGAGCTTGGCCTGCCGACGAAAGCGAGACATATTCGCGGTGTTTGTGCCTATGTTAACAATAATTCTTATCGAAATATATGATTAGTATTTGTGATGGTTGTCAATCCATTGGTTTGTGTTCAACCCGATAACGATGAGTACACACAGATCAGTAGAGCGGAGGAAAAAAATACACACATGAAACAGAATTTTTTTTAATAAGTGTAATCATTATTTGTCTACTGTCGATTATGGTTTCGAATGTGCTGTTTCGTGGCAATATTGTGATACACTGATTATTCCAGTAAAATATTCCATTTGGTATGATATGTAGTGGAAAATGTGTATGTATGTGCGTGTAAACAATATGGTATTTAAAATTCTATTCATTGTATCGGTCTTATCATAGACACAAATACTTTTGGACCAAGTGATAAGCTCACGAGATCTACTGTATTTTTCATTAAAATTCACTTCCTTGGCTCAGTTCCTATGTGATGGCCGTTTCATAGTACATCAACCCTGATCACCGTTTTGTACGGTGATCTAGACTCTGACTTACGATGTTTTGAGCATGATAACAATCGAAAATGAAGAATTTCGCAGAGTACACCGTACATACAACATTTAGGCGACAGTAAACAGTTGAACAGCTGATGATTCAGCATTTCAATTGTATGTGCTTCTAATTGAGGAACTAAGCAAAATGTTTTTCATTGTAGAGGTCATGCAAAATACTCTTCAAAATCGTCATCGAGAATACGCTAAATATAAAATCGCATCAAGTCCTTGCCGACAACGATATAGAGATTGAGCTTTAGCGCCCATTCAATCTTCCTGTGTGCTTAACATGTGACATATAAATACACAGCCGTTCACGTGCAAACAAACGGACAAGTGCGTGCCACACATAGATATATATGCTAAACTGGACGACGACGACAACGTCACCGCGTCATCATCATCGTAGCCGTTTGCATCAACATCCACACACACACACACCTATCTTTAGTGAATGAATGCGCTGTGTATGTATAATAATTGTATATTTATCACACGCATAGATCATGCTATCATGCTTACTGGCAAAATATTTCTATATTCGTTATGTTTGCTATAAATATCCAATCGACAATAAAAACATACACGGTGAAATTTACGATTTGAATTCTTGATTGATCAACTTTTCAACCAGCTCGAGTTACTATGCCAATATTTCCGCATTTCTATTCTCGCAATACGAAGTAAGAGCTGCTAAGGAGGATTATTTGCGCATTTTATGACACTGTTTTGATTTTTTTCTGCTTTTTTATTACGCAACATTTTCAAAATCGTTGATGAATTTAGATAAATAGAAAACATTCTTTTGACAAAATTTTCTCATTTTGTTCATCGATGAGAAAACGTTGCGATGTTATACGGACTCTTCAAAGAAGGACAAATCAAGGGCATCCGAAGAAATAGAGCTCAATTGTTTGTATTACTACGTCATGTACAACGACTAGATTGCTGAACATTTATACAACTGTGACTAGAACACTAAGCTATTTTTAAAACATTCGAATTATTTCAAGTGCTTCAGTCACTCACTGAATCTCGGACATATATTAAAATTTATTGCACCAACTCAATAATCAATCACTGCAATGAAAAATATTCTAAATTAAGATGTAACCAACCTTTTCTTCCTTGGGAACTTCGAGCATATTGACAAATTAATTTGACTTTGTACTTTGAGCGTTGAACAACAGGTAGAACAACTGAATTTGGATGCGGAAAAAGAATCACGCAATTTCACTTAATGTTCTTATCACACACAAAGACACGATCAATACCTTTTCAACAAATTGCTGAGACGAATTCTTTTTTTCTAAAACTCTCACAGCTGATGCTCAAAAAACCATATCAAAATGTATCGCGCTACGGTTTGTGCGTATCAAATTGATTTGAGATTGAAATCGGTTTGATGAGATGCAATAATTTTGATATACTAGCACAGTTTGAGCGAACGTTGTTCTCTCTCCGTTAGATAAACGCCGACAATTTGTTCGTTCGCGACACATGCACAAGTGCAAGACCTCCGAATGATAAAAAAACCGCAAATATTTCTGCGCTGTTCATATGTATTTGTGCTGTGAACACTGTTGAACTGTCAAATGCGCTATTTTTCTTTCGAACATGAACGAATTGACATTCGAAGTTGGAGTCCGTTGTCAAACATCGAATACAAACCAAAACAAACGAAAAAATTGTGTATGTAGAACAATTCATCACCTGGGTATTTTCACACGGCATCATTTCACAATGGAAAATATGTTGACCTATTCAATTCAAGTAAAACACACTTGTTTTGTTGCTCATTTTTCAATGATTTTATTTATTTAATAACACGTAAACAATGAATATATAGATTTATGGAGATTTACAGCTGTTTTGCCTGAAGAAAAATGGCATTTTGAGCGTGTAATGTATTTAAAAGTTTTCTCGAAAAAAAAATTTTTTGGTTTTTGATTTGCACACGAATAACGGTACAACAATTTGGTTTCAATGACTAAAAAATGACATATTTTTAACTTCGACAGAATTCGATTCAGAAGCCAGACTATAGACGAGTTGTTGAACGTGGAAACAATAATATTAACGTTAAAAAGAACAATAAATCTGTGGTTGAATTTCACATTTAACTGAAGTTATCACAGTGCAAGTAAGCTATCTCCAGATGTGCATGTCCAAAACTAGACCATTTCAATCAGATGTCCACTAAAATGAAAGAATATGATATGCAATTGAATAATTTAACTCGATGATGTCGAAATACTAATTCAAAATAGATTATTCGTTGGAATTCCTCACTCTTAGAACGGGTTCGCCACGTTTGGCTGCTTCTAATTCGGCCTGTTCAATTTTTTCAGCGCGTAGTTGCAATCGACTCACTTTTTCTGGATTTTTTACACCACGCGATTCACTCTCCTGTCGCCTACGTTCGGCGGCCTCGACTTGCATTTGACGTCGAGCAGCCTGAAACAAAGACAAAATTTACATCAATTAACAAGTCGAAAAAAAACCTATCGAAACGAACAAAGAAGACTAGATTCCAACAAATCTTTGTTTACACACCAAATCTGGTTGAACAACAACAGTTTCTTCTCCCTTGAAGCATGATGAGCACGCTGTACCCATTTTCTTTCGATTTTATCAATAATTTCACAATCAACGATATTGAAATAAAAAATCAAAATAAGCGCAAAAACACTTGTACGACCTCACTTATTCATACTTTATTTACATTTACACAGAACATTGTATCTTTTATCAGCCTGACTACTTGCACTTTTCGTTGGAATGTCATCACAGATTAGCGTTTAGTACACGTTATCAACTTCGAAAGCGCTTGCAATGCTTCAATTAGAGAGAAAATCGAGAAAATCGAGAAAAAAAATCAGAATTTCATTGCTTTTTATGTCATTTAAATAAAATTGTAGAAGAAAACCATTTCAAGATTATTTTACGTCGCAAAATAATGAATATCTGCTTCGAAGTAGATACGGTTCTGTTTTCTTCGAAAACGTTTAGTACATTTGACAAGACTTTAGTTGACATGATGGCGCCATCTGCCATTTTGCCACTCGGTTGCAGATATGTCATTTTGTCACAGTTGGCAGCAGTGCATTGAAATTAGACTTTTTTCTCACGCAAAAGAACTTGGGACGTCGAGAAATTATTTAACTAAAAATAATTTAAATCAAAATGTTGTCAAGAGCTAGCGTGTTCCAAGGTAAGTAAACGTATCAATTCTAAAGAATTCCAAAACATTTGGTGTGAATGGCTCACATGGCTCGGGTGCGATTGTGATGGGTAAGATGTGATGTTGGTGCACACCATTCCGGCAATGAAGTTTATGTAATCACTATTGGTTATGGATGAAAAAAGGCAAATGACAGTCACCCCATTGATATTGAGCCTTCTTAGTGAAAATATTTTCGAACATCTGAAATTTTCTATAAAATCACGTGAAACATTTTCAATTTTTTCAATAAAAATGTCATTTTCAATATTTCAACAAAAAATCTAGTTCGCAAGCCGATCGCTCAATTGGTCCGAGCAACCAGCACAACATCATCAACCTCATCAGCTGCTGCCGCAGCTCCAGCTGAAGTTGGTTACCAGCGTCCAGTTCGTCAAATCGAAGCAGCCCCAGTTCGCTATGGATTCATTCCAGAAGAATGGTAAACTACTTATAACCACTGTCACATTGACATTGAAACCATGCCACATCTAATGTTATTGTTGTTGTTATTTTTCATTTGTGAAGGTTCCAATTCTTCTACAAGAAAACTGGTGTGACTGGTCCATATGCTTTTGGTTTTTCATTGTTCACCTACTTGGCATCGAAAGAAATTTATGTCATGGAGCACGAATACTATGCTGGTCTTTCGTTCGCCGCCCTTTTGATCATCGGTATCAAGAAATTGGGTCCAGGTGTTAAGAAAGCATTGGACGCTGAAGTCGATCAAATTGAAGCCGACTTCGAGCAAGGTCGCAAAGATGAAGTGGCCAATCTTGAAGATTTAATTGAACATGAAAAGACCGAACAATGGCGTGCCGAAGGTCAATTGATGTTGAACGATGCCCAAAAGGAGAATGTTTCATTGCAATTGGAAGCCGCTTACCGTGAACGTTTGGCTCAGGTATTCAATGAAGTGAAACGCCGTTTGGACTATCAAGTCGAGATCCAATTGGTTGAACGTCGTGTCAAACAAAAGCACTTGGTTAACTGGGTATCAAACAAAGTTCTTGGCAGCATCACACCCGATCAAGATAAAGAAACATTGTCCAAATGTATCGCCGATTTGGGCGCTTTGGCTCCAAAGTAGAACAAATTAAATAAGATGGTGTCTACTTTTACTGTATAAAACTTTCCGACATAGAAATCCATACGAATTGTTTCGAGAATGATTGAGAGAAAAAAACACTCTGTATTTGTTTCAAACATCAAACTGAAAATTTTTGCCGAATAAATTCGAATCAACAATCCAAATGATTCAATAAAAAAAAATGAGAAAATAAATTTTTACGCTTTTTATTTCATCCATTTGTAACGATTGGATACATATATATTGTCATCTTATGTGGATTTTTTCAATAAAGGTATAACTACAACTGAATTTTTCGCCTCCTTAATTCGCCACCATCGACCCAATCGATGCTCTTGCCCAACGGCCGCTATCAACTTTGTGCCATCATTTGTGAAGGCCAAACTGTTTACAAATCCACGCACCGGCACTTCGAACAACAACGTTATGTCCCGATAATTTTCACCCAACTTCCATAGACGAATCACTCCATCGCATGACCCTGTTATAAATATTGGACAATTTTCATTATTGACATTTAACTCTAGCTTTTTCTGCTTCATTAACATAAATATTCCATGTTTTTTCCCCTCAAAATTCTGATAAAGAAAACCCTTACCTGAAGCAATGACATCTGTGTTGATCAGAGTTGCAACTGCACTGATCCAATTGGCTTGATCGTTCTCTTCGGATTTCCCATGTGCTAACTCCTTGACACTCAAAGGCTTCTTTTTCATGGCACTCCACAGACAAAGTGTTCTGAATTGAGATCGAAACAATTCAAGTCATAACATTAGTTGAAATGCTTCTTTGAGTGGCAACTCGGATTAAAATGGCACTAAATACTAACCCATCATCTCCAGCCGAAATGAAATTCTCTTCATTGATCAATTTAACTATATCGATGCTCCCACTGTGGCCATTATACACGAGCTGCGATTCTTCTACTATTTTCCAAATACGTACACTACGATCCGAACCTCCAGCAGTAATGGCACGCTCTCGCGACAATGCATCGATGCTTGTTAAAGCTGATTGATGACCATAGCTTAAGGAATTTAAATCATTCATTAGACGTTTTTTATTTATTTTCGACCAATTTTCTGGCTTTTTTTTTTAAACTGGAATTTTCTCTCGTTATCTTTTTTGTCTCGTCAAACGTTAAGAGAGTCGAGTCTTGGTTCAATTCAACTTACAGTGTTTCCACGTATGCCATTTCATCGAGTGACCAGATTTTCACCGAACGATCTTTGCTTGCCGAATACAAATCGTGTGTATCCTTGCGAAATACTAGCGATGTGACAATGTCACGATGACCTTTGAACGTTTGAAGATGTGTTAATTTCTCGCAGCACCAGATTTGAATGTACGGGCTCATGTCTCCGATAGCCTAAAAAGCGAAAATTCGTTAAAATTGTTGAAAAAAATCAATAAAGGACTGTTATTCCATACCAAAAATTTGCCATCAGTGGAGGCAGCTAGTGTATAGGTTTGCGGTCGACGCTTCTTTTTACTATTCTCCACTTCATCTACACTTTTTCCCACATTACAGTCAATATTGCCGACCACTTTCATACTTTCACAGTCCCATTTCAGCACGATGGCCGATTTGTTGCCAGTGAACAGGAATTTATTGTCAGCAGTGAGGCAAACACATGTCACGGGCAATTGGTGTAGTTTATGCTTCACTTGTACTATATTTTTATCGTCGATGCCCGTGTATTCGTTGGCAATTTTTCGTCGAAGTTTTCCAATGCTATCCAAATATTCGTCCGTTAATCGCCGTGACACATTATTTTCTAACAGTACTTGATCTTCGGCTCGGCTTTTCTCCTCTTTTTCAATCTCCTCCAAGTACATTTTTGCCAATTTCAGGCGTTTATCCTGTGGAGTTTCGGCAATTTCTTCATCGTCTTCTTCTTCTTCGGAAAAATGTACACTTGCCAAATTCTCCTCATCTTCGTCGGAACTGTGAATCTCTTCATCGTCTTCGGTTCGATCGATTTTTGGCAATTTTGGTACTTCATTCTTTTTACCAAATTTACTATTCAACGGAACCTACAATTGGAACACACACACTGAGTAAACACGTTCATAGATTTTAAACTGACAACATCTTACCTTGCGCTTCTTTGAAGATTTTGGCTTTGATTTCAGGAAAAATGATGATGAACTCATTTTGATGGGATTTTATGCGATATTACCTTTGAAAAATGAACAAAAATTACAACAATCTCATTTAGAACGTTTAAAAATCGAGCGGAAAATTCAATTTGGTCAAAGAAATAATCAACGAAGGTTCCGCAACACGTGTTTACATATAGCAATGTTCGTGTATTGCAGCAGTTGACGGCTTTCAGTGTTGAATGTGACGTTCGAAAGTGAGCCGCTGCTGCTTTCGAACATGAAGTGTCAGCTCATTTGACAGTTCACTTGTACTTGTACTTGTATTAGCGTCGAACTGAAGATTGAAGTAGAATGCAAAATCAAATGGATTGGACGAAGAAAAGAGGATAGAAATTTTAACAAAAAAATATTTTAGCTAGGCTAGTTTTAGGTACAGACATTGCTTTTGTGGAAATGACACAAATTTAGAAGAAAATTCGATATTTCATTGAATCTCCGTTTCTTTGTATGTTATACTACCAACTATATCCTGTTCTATAGAAATGTTAGAAATTTGATCACACGTTTTTCAAATAATACGTCAAGGATTGCATAATAAAACTACCAATTTGTCGCATTTCGATTAAAGCATTCTGAGTTTATTACTTCTGTTTAACTTTTTTGTATATAAACGTGAGCCCAATTTTATTGGAAATTTTGAAAAAGTATTTGTTCAAAAGGTCGCATTGCTTGGTTCTTTATTCGATTCTATAAATGCCTTTTGTTGAGATTTATTTTCCTTTTGCGGCGGCAAGACGAGCTGAAACATCATCCCAGTTGACCACATCAAAAATGGCATCAACATAGTTCAATCGCACATTTTTGTACTGCAAGTAATAGGCATGTTCCCAGACATCAATGCCCAACAATGGAATCAAACCTACATCAAGAACATTTTTTTAGAAATGGACATGAGTTCAAAACATTCAAAAAAGAAATATTGCTATACAAGCTGAAAAGAAAGTCCGAAAACTCACCTGTGGTGGCTTCCAATGGATCTTGATTGAAACATGTTGCAATTTGAATTTGGTTATTCTTCTTGTTGAAACCAAGCCATCCCCATCCCGAGCCTTGTACGGCAACGGTTGCGGTGGTGAATTCTTTTTTGAAATTTTCAAAGCTGCCGTATGTCTTTTCGAGTTCACTTTGCAACGCACTCGATGGTTTGGACTTGTTCGGGCTCAAATTCTTCCAGAAAATGGTGTGATTGATGTGGCCACCGCCATTGAATTTCAATGTACCTTGCAACGCAATTATCTTCGATGTGTCATTCTTCGAAACGGCATCTTTCAATTGCTCTTCGGCGGCATTCAAATTGGTAATGTAAGTTTGATGATGTTTTGTATGATGGATTTCCATGATTTCCGCCGAAACAATTGGCTCTAGAGCCTTGTAATCGTAGTCCAATGCGGGCAATGTATGCTTTTGCGCTGCAGGCAATACACCGGCAGAAAATACATTGCGACTGCATTTCCAGATCGGAAAAATTAAACCAAATTCAATTGAAATTCTTTGGAAATGCCAAAAAGATAGGCAGTTTTATGTGTTTATTGTTACCTGACAATAGCGGGAATTCGTCGAGCGAGAAACATTTTTGTTATCTGTACGTGTGCCAAGTGCAAAGAAAAATGGAAACTTATTATTCAATTTTTTTTTTTGCAAATCGAATGAATGACATCCGAATCTGAGCCGCTCTTTCGAACATGAAACGTCAGTCGATTTGACATTTCAACTAAACCGACACCGTATTGTTTATTGTAAATTTGGGCTGCAGACTAATTACAAGCTGTGTTTTTTAATTTATTTTGAAGAGTTATTTGGAAAAATGCCAACTGAAAACAAGAAAAAAAAATCGAAACATGATGAAAAGAAATCATTGCTTTCGGTCAAGAGTGAACCGGAAGACTTAAAACCATTGGAACATTATGTGGACGACCGAATTGAGCTTATCAAGCAAATATTTGACTCACTCAAAAGTAAAACCATCGAATCCGTCATACCGGAGTTTTTGCAGGTAATGAACTGAAATTGTCGAAATATTTGAATCTTTTTTGAGAATTGGATTCGTTTAATAAATCATCTGGTGTTTGGTCGGTTAGGAAAAATCGATTGAAGAAATCCAAGAAATTTGTCTCGAAGAGATATTGGGAATATCAAAGAAGCGCTTGTTGTCCATTATCAATGCAACTAAATGCCCCACAGACACGGAATCTTCTGACTCTGGCTCTGATGTGGAAAAAATCGAAGGTAATTCATGATTTGAAATATGAAAATGAGTAAAATCAACAATGGCATGTCATATTTTCAGAACACATTTCGTTGGAGGAAATCTCATCCGACTCAAACGATGAGTTGAGTAAACCACGGAAGAAAAAGAAACGTGAACCCAAAAAAGGTAAATATATTTTCAATTTATTTCATTTCAGTGCCACAAAGTGGCAAGCACTTTGAGTGGTGTTTCATATTTCGAATTTTAATGTTAATATGATGTCGTTGCTATCAATGATAGCCTATTTATTTGCTTTTGGATGAGTAAAATTCAAAGCAAGTCAAACAAAATGCATACTTCCCTTGAATTTTAATTGATTTCTGTCTTTAAACCCTTGGCTTCATTTAGAGACCAAACCAGGACCGGCCACTGAGAAACCGGCTGTGCAAAATGGTCAAGGTGAGAAGCAATACTCGGTGTTGGAACTATTGGAATTACAAGCACGAGCTCGAGCGATTCGATCTCAACTGGCACTTGAGCCGGTCACAAAGATTGAGTTAAACGATTCGGATGATGAGCCAGAGAACAAAGATGAGGGAAAAGAGAAGCCAAAAGATAAAGATAAAGATAAAGTGAAGGAGAAGGAAACAAGAATTGAGCCAACTGCGAGTGTGTCGCAGAACAGTAGCAGACACCATGAGAGAGAGTCATCAAAGGCGCTAGAGGATGAACCAAAAGTGCCACCCAGTCGGCCTGTTCGTCTAAAGCGAAACTTCCGACAGAGACAAATGGAAGGATACGAATCTGATGAAAGCCACTCCGTAACTGAAAAGGAAGCAGAGGACAAAAGTGAACAACCGAATGATAAATCCGAAGCTCCCGAAAAGCCAATTGAAAAAGAGAAATCACCGGAAAAGGAAAAATCACCCGAAAAGGTGGTTGAACCAGCTGCTGTCCATGATGATGATGTGGTGCCAATAATAGCCGAGCCGGAAATTCTCTGCATTTCAAGCAGCGACTCCGAAAGTGACGAGAAGAAGGAAAAAAAGAAAAGCACGGCAAAAAGAAGCTATATTACGATGCCGGTGATTGAGAAAGAAGATCGACCACCGACCGAAGATGAGCTGTTCTTGCAAAAGATTAAGACAAAATCGGAGGCACAAAAAAAGGCCGAACGTAGTTTGATGATAACCGGGGAAATGAGCAGTGAAGCTCAAACGAATGAAATCCCAGAGAAGGAAGCTCAAATGAAATCATCGGAAACAAAGAAACAAGACGAAGAAAAGGAACATATTGAAATGGAAGACGGGGAAATCATTGAAGAGGATGAAATAGTCGAGATTCCAGAAAGTCCAGAACCTCAACCAGAATCCGAACAGAATTGTGATGAGAAAGAAACACCAGATGATGCAAAAGAAAGTGAGTCTCATAATACGTCAATGCAAGAGACTGACAAAAGCCATGATGATAACAGAAGTTCTGATTCTGAATCGGATAGTGATGGATCTAGCAGTAGCGGGAGCAGTGCCAGTGAATCAGACAATAGCGGAAAGAGAGCACAGTCCCAAGCGAGTGAAAAGTCAAATGTCGACGATGATGATGAAGACATTATCGATTTGGGCAAAGACGAAGATCTCGATTTTGAACAGCTTGACATGAATACGTTCAATGATGAACCGAAAGAAGAGGGGACAACGATCCGACGAACACGGAGTAAGGCGAAAACCACGGATAAAGATCCATCACCTGATGTTGATCCGAAGGTAATATTTTTATTCGAATTTTATTTCATTTGAGAATTTTTTTCACCGAAATTCATCTTCAGAATCTACAAAAAAATCGCACACTTTTCAAAGAAATGTTTTTAAAATTGATGAATCCGTTCCAAAACGTTTCCAGGACGAATCATGGGATAAACGATGGTTGCGTGGCAACAAAGTGAGTAAGGTTTTGGCAACGAGTCGCTTGGCCAATAAAGTGCGGAGTAAAATCAAGGAGAAGAAAACGAAAACGAAAATCACACAACAGCCAGAAGAACCGGAGCCACCAAAAGAAACGGTTCCAGTGGAACAGCCAAATGTTGAGGTTGGCAGCGTTGAACATTACAAAGAGTTGACCAAGCAAAAGTGAACGACAAAAAACCCATTTTCGAAACATTTTATCATTCAAAATTGTCTAACACAATTTCATATTCAATTGCATTAAAAACTGTACGAGAAAGTATCAAATAAAATTATAGATTTTACAGCTAAAGTTTATCGTATTTATTTTTATCGTTTGTCAAAATTGTCTTTCATAAAATAAAGTGCTGACTTGACTACTTGTGACTTACAAATATGGCAAAAAAAGAAGCCTGAAATGAAGCGTTTAAAGTGGTATGAGTGCTGAAAATTCGGTAAGAATAAAGACTGTTCGATGTTCGATTGAATACTGCTTTCGTTGTACTACTCTATCGGGGTTTGTGATTTCCATCAGTTATTGCGCCAATATCATCGCGAAATACGATCGTAAATTTCAAATATGGATAAAAAGTGAGAGAGGGAGAGAGAAACAAGTGATAACATTTACCGAAGAGATTGCTCAGTGCAATTGGATCGGAAAAGAAAGAGAGAGAGTACACCAAAACGATTGGCGACTGGCAGTACAATTTTTACACGATTTCTCAAATGTATAAGCATATACACAACGAAAACGAACAGTATCGACTCGATTTGCGGAATCTGTGCACAGCGCTCCAACCATTGCCGTAGATTGTCCAAGCAGAACGACGCAGCAGCGAGTCTTCACTGTGTGTCATCGCATTTTATTGGTAAAATTTCATATTTTTCTTTCCATATTTTGTTTTCACTGAAGTGAGGAAAAAAAAGTTGTGTATGTGTTAGTGCATGGAGGCGAGGTACTATGATTTTCGAGCACCTCCGAATACTATACCGTACAGCACATTGTCATTGCGCGTTGTGTGTATGTGAAGCAAAAAAAAAAATTTCCCCATGTACAAAATGCCGAAATGAAAAATATTAGTTAAATGCCGACAAGAAAAAAAAAGTAAATAAGTTTTTCGGGTGAAACGGAAAGAGAAAGCGAATGCACAACCGAAATGGAAAGTGTGCGTATGTGTACAGTGTACACACGAATGAATGAATGAGGGATGAAGTGACGGTGTCGGTGGCTACGGCGACAACGGTTACAGCAGCAGCGGCGGTGGTGGCGGAGGCGATGTGGTGGTGAGTACACACAATGCCGAAGGAACAAAAAAAAGAAATAGAATGTGAATTACAGCGGGCATCCGACAGTTAGTTGTTCATGTGTGGCATGAGCGAATAGTAGTAGACACACAAAACCAGCGAAAAGTGAGCGAGTGAGATAGAGTGAGCGCGTGGTTAACGGTGCGACCATCGAGCAACAGAGCAACACAACGATGTAGTGCACAATCGAATGCGGTGCTCGTATCACATATAACAACACACAACATCGCAAACAACACGATACTCTCGATTTCTCTATTACATATATGAGAGAGCCTCTCGGTGTCGATATATCTACAGCACATAAATGGGACTCTTTTTTTCGGTGGTAGTTGGCCACTTGTATGTGAAACCAACGACGAATTGACCGTTTCCACATATAGGAAACAACAACAGTTATAATAATAATAATAATAATAATAATAATCAAAGACGAGGCGAGAAAGAGAAAAAAGAAAACAAAAACCATAGAAAGAAAGACTAAAACGTTCGGTCAGAGAAGCCGTGCAGACCGTATACCAAATTTTTCGGTAGCTATTCGGTTAAGCGGTGTGTTTGCGTTCGATCCTTCTTCATTCGACCGAACAACATTTTATTTCGCTATAGTTACATACGAATCGTTCATTTTAGTCTATAAAAATCGCGTACGCGAACAAGAAGTGGTGGCCAGTTTTTAGGCATCACAAACTTACGCGCGTTTTGTGTCGGAATGATAATTAAATATAACGTCCAGTGAAGTTCTGTAAGTTTCAACTTTTTTTTTCTCTCTCTCGTTCATTTTTATTCGACAAAATTTTTTCGCTGTTCTTTCTGTTCTTACAAATCATTTCTGCCCCATTTGAGCATGATTATTTTAGTTTAAGTTTTCTCTGAATGGTAATGTTTCAATTGATGTTGTCAGTGTTGATCATTGTTCAAAAAAAAATTCTTTTTTTTAATCGTTGGTGCCACGATGGAACGCGTATTAAATAATCGAATTGGATTTACATTTTTTTTTGTCATGTGTCTGGTGTTGACCTTTCTAAAACCAAGGAATCTTATTTTCCATCGAAGTGTGATGTGGTGTGTGTGTGTGTGTGTGTGTGAATGTGCGCCTCGGAATCTAAAATTCTAAGGGATAACTTTTGAATGTGTATGATAAATCTGTTAAAATCCGATTTGCTGCGGCTAGAAATGCGCAAAACAAAATCACTTGATAAAATTTTCATTTCTCGAGCACATTTTATGTTCACTAATTCGAAACGATGTTCGCAATAATAAGTTGAGCGATTTTTTCTGTTGTTCATTCCAAAACAAACCGCCAAATTGGCTTACCTCATCTTATCGATTTTGCCATTAAACGATTAGCATTTAAATTTTTTGGTGTGCTGCATGCAAAACGATGTCGACCGTATAATAAAAACTAAATATTGATTATACAATGAAAATCCATCCACGAAATCAAATGCCGAAGAAAAAAACGCGCAACGGAAAATGTGGAATAAATTTGTTTTTGAATCCGTCTTCACATTCGGATTTGTTTTTTTTTTGGAAATGGCAATTGAGTTGAAATTTTATTCTTTTTTGCTGTCTCACTCACTTTGTCGTTTTGAGTTGGTGATCCGTTGCCTTCACGTGTGTTTGCTATTTTCTTATACGCTCGAGCGAAATTCATGCTGCACGTTATCATGCAATGTGATTTAAGTTTTTCATTGCCGCTAATTTGTCCTACCTTTCGCTTCAAATTTCGATGGAGTTTGTGCATGTTTGTGTGAAAGCGATTCGTAATTTGGTTTCGGTGATTTTAGTATTCAACAAAGTTCCATGCGATACAATTACGGCCAACGCTCGGCATGCAAACATGCTAGACTGGGAATAATATTTAAAAAGAAAAACACTCACACACACTTCTAGAACTCATCGTAAGAAAAGAGAGGAACATTTATCGAATTTTCGTGTTTCGATGGAACGACGAATTTAAATGGCTTGAAAAATTGTATGCAAAACGACGGAAATTGACATTGTTGTTGAGTGTGTAAGGGCCTGAATATTTCCCTTCATCGACAGAAAAAATATCGATGCCAATAAATCGCAAGGCCCCCCAGCATGAGTCCACATCGTCGAAAGAATGAAAATCGATATTTCATAAAAATCTATCAGCAAGGAAAATAAGCAAAAGCAGAGAAAAAGACAAAAAAAATCCATCAAAATTATTTATCAATAGAAGCGAGCGGTAGCTATCGCAACACATATCGAAGCCGATATATATGTGAAAATATAAAAAACTAATTAGAAAAAATGCGCAGAGGGAGGCTCCATAATCTACATTCTACACACAACCAAATATGTATAAGCCGTACCAATTTTTATTTACGCTCGGACGATACAGAGCATGAGGATCATTAATGTCTGTGTGAAAGAGAGAGTTTGTTAAGATGGAAAAGTGATTGTGTTATGTATATATACGTATATATGTGGAGAGGCGAGTGGCAGGCAAGAAACGAACAAGAAGGAAAACAGAAGAAGAAGAAAAGAAAAATTAGCGAAAATGTTTGAAAACATATATGGGCGGACGCGCGCACATTTAAAAAGCGTGCGGATTCCGTTTTCGGGTGTTATTTCTGAAAAATACAAATAATTCGGCATGTATCTGCTGTAGCCATCTCCAAAAGGGCCGTCAAATGCACACACTTTGTAAACGGCATCGGCAACCGCAGCAGCAAACATATAAAAAGAAATCGACATCTCAAGTGAAAATGAGACATGCGAATTGTGTGCCGATGTTTTGATGAAAAGAAAAAAAGAAAAACAAATGGGGAAACAAACCGAAGCGGAATATGAAAATAAATATGTGAAACGTTTCATTTCAATACCGACTCCCTTCAATTTACTCACAAACACAAACGATGTCAGTCTCATGAAAAAATTTCTTCCCAATCAACCGAACTACCCTCATATTTATCATGCTTATTCTTACATTTTTATTGGAATCTTTAATAAAGTTAAAGAATAATATTATTGAAGTTGGACATTTGACCAACCATTTCATGCATTTGAAAGTCATCCTTCGATGTCGTTCTCTCAAATTTTCAATAGAAAAAATCCATGCTTTTTGTGGTAACTCTCTTGTGTGTCATGATAATAAGCCTATCAAAATAAAGCCAGCAGCTTATGTGTCGCCAGAGCGGATTTGACGTGTTGATTTTGCAGAGTGTGCCATGAGCTGATGTCAGCAGCACTAACTAACGTCAGTTGCTGATATCAGCTGCTGACGAGTGTGCGATGCGTTGTTTTAACGCATTTACAGTATAAAAACGAGATATCGTCCAAAGAGTCCAATGGAATGATTGAACATATTGGCAACTGACGTTAGTTAGTGCTGCTGACATCCGCTCATAACACGCTCTGTGATTTTGTGGAAAAAACCTTCGACGAATCTAATTGATCAGTAATAACAATCTTTATGAAATAGTGATATCACACAACTTGTAATTCATTTCAACATTTACATATCGACCCTTTATCGCATGGAATATATATATCGATGTTGGTTTAAAATACACTCAAAAAATCAGTTCAAAATATTTATTATATTTCAATACTCGTTTGATTTCAACACTCGCAAAAATGGATATAATATTCAATTTATACATCATTCAGTTCAAACAGCCTTTAGTTTCATATTCTAAGCTTACATTCATCTTTTTGCGATATGGTTAAAAGGCTTCAGAAGACTGCACCTAATGGTATAGTAGCAAACACTTTTGGGCAGTTCATTTCAGCTAATTTTTCATAAGCAGACATTGATCCAGAATTTATATTCTTTGTAACTAACATATGCTTCCAAACATAAATGGCAGTTGCATCCTTCACATCTTCCATTGTTTTGTTAACAATCTTTGGATCGGTGGTAAAGAGATCACTCCAATTCGACTCACTAATCGGGAAGAAAGCTTTGGTTGGATAGAGTTTAAGGCCTAAACATTTCTCCGGTTTCATTGAATACCGTTTCATAGTGTGGAGCTCTTCTTCTTTGCATATTCTTTTTAAAACCGGTGTAATTGCATCTGGTTCATTCGGTTGAAATGGTTGATAATTCTGTGTATATTCTCTGTTCGAATTTAGAACAATATTCATTATAAGTTGAATGGAAAAATACCAACAAGTGGAAAAAATGTCAAAATGCAGCATGTGCTAACGGAATTCAAATACTCAAAATATCAATCGATTGCATGAAGTAAACCTTAAACAAAATAAGATTGTAAGTTCCTTCAAAATATCAAACCTTTAAAACTCTTCAGCAAGCTTACGACCAGTGAAGTTGGAATCGATTCCCAGAACTGTTTTAGTCATTAATTCGCTGTCAACAACTGCAAAATTGGGTGGAAAATCATCTAAATTTCTTTGAAAAATAAAACCCATATCAAAATGGATGCCTCCAAATCTGTAGACCGTAATGAATCGCAAAAGATCTGATAGGTGGGCTGCAAAATAATTATTTAAAAATAACGGATCACGTTTAATCCACTCTTCAGCTAATGTACCGCCAGCGTAATTGGACAAATCCACATCTCGAAAATGAATGTTTGCATATGATTTCAAGGCGTTCATCATCGTGTTATTGAGTGAAGATCCGCCCTTTGCTGCATGCAAAATTAAAACATCACGCTTTGGATTCCATTTCGCAGCTGATTCAATCCCACATGCTTGTCTAAAGTGGATTTTCAATTAGTTTGCAAACTGACACCTACACAAAATGTCATTTAAACTTGGCAATTACCTAAACGCATAGCGAATATAACCATTTTCTGCACATGATGTATGATGGAAGAATACAGTTGTGTCGCTCGGCGGTCTTGATTTTAGTACATCATCAAGAATCTGTAACTTTTCACTTTTTTCCGGCAATTCAAAGCACTTTTGGTTTTTCTTCATTTGTGTTTGTTGAAATCTATACACATTGAAATGTTCTGAATGCATCTTACGGCCCAAACACGCAATTATGCATGTTATAATTAGACAATACAGAAGAAAAGCACCAACGAAATATGCAATTTGTGGCAAATTGAGAGTCTTCTCTGTTTTTTGCATTTTAGCCGAATGAAAATTCACAATTTATTAATTCGAAGTGGAAAAACAATTACTATATATTGAAATTAATTTTCGAAAATACTCAAACGCAATCTTTTATCAACTAAGTTTGTCGTTCCAACGACATTAATTATTTTCTGCCCAATTGAATGGACAAGTATTCGGTGAAACGATCTATTGTAAACAGTTCACGTACATTCCAGTTAAAAATAAGTACTTTTACAATAGACCACTTTTGGTATTATATTCATACATTGAGCTCCACATACTCGTGTACACTTACATACTGTCGCAAAAAGCAATTTCGCTATACATTTTGAATTGAACAAATAAAATGTTGTCAACAATGGAAAAAATCTGTTGAAAATGCTCCAAATTATGGTTGAAAGTGTCTCATTTACAGTGTAAACAGAATGTTCCCTAGACTGTACGGAATTTACTCGGTTTCAAATCAACATAGCTTGTCTTATTCCTTGTGCCCAACAGAGTATTTTGATATAAAAAATTTAGTGTGTGTTTGTTTTGGAATACGTTATCGAGTTCTATTGAACTGAAATGCAAAGGTAGCCTGATTTACCGTTTGGATTGTCACATAAAAACGCGAGGTTTTCAAATTGGTACAGAAATTTAATTTTTGTGCGCCAATTCGGAAACCAAAAAAACGAGCCATTTTCAAAATGACACATTTTTCTAAATTGGCACACAAAAATACACCGATTCCGAATTGGCGCACAAAAATTAAATTTCTGTACCAATTTGAAAACCTCGCGTTTTTATGTGACAATCCAAACGGTCAATTAGGCTACCTTTGCATTTCAGATCAATAGAACTCGTTAACGTATTCCAAAACAAACATACACGTAGCCCATGTGTCAATTGTCGCATTGACGTGTGTTGTAGGGGGAAAAAAATTGCGACACCCACACACAAGAACAGTTAGCGGTGATGTGTGAATGTATTGAAGATATTGAAATGTTTTTGAAGTAGACATCTTGCCTTTCGTACGTAAAACTTTTCAAATTATTATTATTTTTTTTTTCAATTTTGATCGCGAAGAAATAATTTTGGAATAAATTTTTTATATCAAAATACTCTGTTGGGCACAAGGATAAGATAAGCTATGTTGATTTGAAATCGAGTAAATTCCATACAGTCTAATGTTTCCCTATAAAATGTTAATTAAAATTGATAGAGGAATCGATAAAAACCAATTTATTGCTCGATATTATTGCGGTTCAAATTGTGTCATGGAATTGAACGAAGCGAAATTCAAAACCACGATTACAAAAGTATGAAGACTTTGATGAGTAACTCATAATATGATTAAGTTCAACTAAGTTGGTTGAAGCTGGAAAACGTGAAGGTTTAGTTACACGTTGAGCAAACATTTTAGCTTCATTAAAAATATAGGACAATGCACTTAAAAATGTCGAGTGTCATTTGAATTTAGGCCATACTGATAAATAGGCACATCTGCGAATGTTTACTCACGGCGAACAGTCTGTGTTTGTATTCGCGTTCTATATCGACTCAGTCGATTCGACTAATATTGATATTTCAAAAATAAGGACCCGATGCTTGAAAGACTTTTGGGCAAAATTGTTCAGCTAAAAATCGATAAACGTTCCTCGGCTCAGATTTCATAACGTTGCGATACTGTGAAAAACTATTCCAAAAATGTACAGCGACAGATTCCTTGATTTGATGCAGTGTTTCATTCAAAGCTGTTGCGTTTGTGTCGAAGTATTGGCGCCAAGACCAACGCGGAATCGGAAAGAATGTTCGTTCAGGAAATACTTTGAATCCCCAGCAAAATTCAGGCATCATTTCGAGAGTCTTCTTGCGATGGCATATCTTTTGCATCACTCGCGTAATAGAACCAGATCCATGAGGCAATAGTTCACGTGGTTTATAATATTGTGTATGCTCCCTTCAACGTGAAAAAAGTTAGGAAGAAAATGATGAATTTGAATATCCAAATTAAATCAAATATTGAACTTTTTTAATGTGATCGAACAAACCTCAGGATCATTTCAATAATTTTATGGCCAATATAGTTCGATTCGATCCCGAAAACAGCGTTGCTGATTACATCACTTTGTTCAGCACCTGCAAAGTTTGCCGGCATATCATCCAATGATTTTTGTATGATAAAATCCAAATCAAAGTGTATGCCCCCATATTTGTAAAGTGTTACAAGCCGAATGAAATCTGATAGATGTGCAACATAGTATGGTGACGTGAGTATTATGTCTCTTTTCACCCATTCTTGCGCTGGTGTATGAATCGCATAATTATACCAATTCACAGATCGAAGATAAATGTTTGGATATGATGTTAATGCTTTGAATATAGGCGATGTTGGGTTGTTAGATAAACTCCCAACTTGTGCAGCGAATAAAACGAAAACGTCTTGATTTATATTCAACTTTGCAGCTGACTCGATTGAACAGGCTTGTCTAAAATTTAGAAGAAATGTTTTAGAAGATCCACATGAACTGCAGAATTGATATGGTTTTCATAGGATCACTATAACATCATTAGGAAGTCTCAGTTACCTTGCCGTAAATGTGACAGTACCATTCTTATCTCGCGCACACGTTGTATGATGAAAGAAAATAGTTCTAGCATGCTTTGGTGGTGATTTCATTATATCCTCAAGAGAATACATCGTTTGACCACTCTCTATTGATTCAAAGCATCTTTTCGCTTTCTTAATGTGCTCAAGCTCACTTTTTGTGTGTCTTCCTTTGTGTTCATGTGCTATTGACCAAATACAACTTACCAAAATGAGAACTAAAATGATTAAACCAATACATTTTACCACGTTAACAAATCTCGTATGCATTGATGTATACAAATCCATTTTGAACAGATTTCAATGTGACGATTGGACTGATTTATAGTTGAAAATATTTTTGAGAATCTCATCAAAAGCGTTTATTTTAAATGGAGTTTGAAGAACATACTTTGAATAATATTGCTGATGAACACTAAGCCATTTCTGTGTCAATCGCCATCGAAATCATTTGAATTTGACTCAAGATGACAAAAATATTGATTCAACTGTTGTGAAAATGAATAAATATATATATTGACAAATTGCACGCCGTCACTTGTTATGCCATTATTTTTTATGTGTAACAGTCGATGAGATTGAAGTACAAAATTGTTTTTTTTTTCATGTACATCATTCTCTCCTTTGAAAAAATAAAATCAAAAATTGGCCATGAAATTGAAAGTATGAAAGTGTTCAATTCAAAAACGTTTGAATTTCCAAAAATCATTCATTCTTTCGAATAGGCATTGCGTTGTGCATAACTTTGTCTCATGATGTTTAATTACGGTAGGAATGAGAATGCGCAAGAATGATCGCTCGCCCTCCTCTCGTACGCTTGTATTTCGATGTATGGATGTGTGCGTGTGTGAAAACTTATATTTTCCTTTCAATTTTTTCCCATTTCGAATTCTCTGGACAGCAAATAATTTGAGGATAATCAAGAATTTGAGCTGTATACCACACATGCGGATCCCGTATAGGAGCACCTCTCGAATCGAGTGAGAGAGAGAGAGAAGGAGCAACAGAGCAAATAAGAAAATGCGAAACGGTCACTACCACAGTCTCGCGCGCGCGGAAACGAAATCTGGAGAAAGAAAAAGTCTTCAACAAATTATTATTGTGTGTGAGCCTAAAGTCGTATAAATGCGTAGCCCAGTGACGGACAAAACGACGATGATGGATACGCAACGCATACAAGCACGCACATCAAGCGGTCAGTCGAAGGTATATATGAATTTTCTGGTCGAGGCGATATAAAACTTCAGCATTACATACAGTCATATGTGTGTATGGCAAAGACGTTTGAATTAGATGATGATTCGATGCGTCGAATAAATTGTAAACGAAAAAGGAAGCAAAAAAACACGCACAAAATCCAATGTAAAAATGTGCGTTGTATTGATGAGCATTGTTGTTTGACTGTGTGTGTGTGTGTGTGTGTGTGTGTGTGTGTGTGTGTGTGTGTGT